GTCCTTCCGAGTTTTTCCATGTCTGGTGCACCCCGGGGTGGACCTGGATGGTGTGCACCCCCGGGGGAAGCGGTCGAAAAACAAATCTTTTAAGAGCTACCGTCAAAAATTAGCATGAAACTATATATATATTAGAAAATACACTATTTCAAAATCGGAATAAATTCCTTAATAGGCATTTGACGCAAGAATACGTTAGTAAAAAAGTATTATCAAAAAGAACCAAATTCCTTCAGATTCCAGTTGCAATAAATCTATATAAATTGAAAACTTCTCGTTTTTTTGCTTGACGATGGCGGTTGTGATGTGATGAAAAAGATTTATATAAAAAAATGCTGATCCGTGAATCCATGAACGTTTTGAAAAAGTTGGATTTTTTTAAACTTGATTTAAAAAAATAGGAAATAAAAAGATAAGTGTGAAAAAGAGAACGAAAAAAATATTTTTTTTCGTTCAAGACCTTCAGTTCAAATTCCTTAAAAATCTCGGTTACAAAAAAATTTTTATATAACATCATATATTTTTCTTTTCTTGGTTAATGATCACGTTAAAAAGTCGCTAGGATAAAAAAAGTTTTTATGAAAATGTCAATATTTTGGCTTTTTAATCCATCTGTAAACTTTTCAAGAGCTGATTTTAAAGTTTGATTTTTCAAGAAAAGAGGTCAAAAAAATCGCGAAAAGAAGAAAAAGAAAAGAGAAAGTGTAAAACGGAAACGTCAAAAAAGATAATATTCAAGAAAGACTGCAATCATGTGTTTCTTTTCCTTTTTTTCCATCAACCATTTTGTATCGAGATTCATGATGTTCCAGTGCAGAATTTCCTGTTTTTCTGCTAAACTTTGAGAGAAAAAGAGGAAATGGGCAAAAAGTTAATTGGTTGTTTTAAGTGAAGAACCCTTGTTTCTTTCCTTTAACTACACTTTTTTTATGTATCGAAAATCTTCACATAAATTGTAAAATCGCGTTTTTCGAATTACGAGAAGCAAAAATCGTGTAAAAATCCTTATGAACGTTAAAATTTATCGCATTTATAACGATTTTTCGCTTCGAGACCTCTATTAAATTTGTCTACGCCCATATGTAACCTCAGAAAAGAGAAATAAAAAGATTGAAGCTGGAAAAAATCTTTGAAGCCTTTAAAAAGCGAAAAAAGAAGTTTTTTCGTAATTTTCAATGTTTGCGGACCTGTCGGTGCCTGCGGCTCGATTGCCTACAGTAATCCAAACTTGAAAAATCGTATTGTCCTTTCAAAATTTTTTTAACAAAAAAATAGATTTATTTAACTTGTCAAAAACCAGAATCTAGCTCAAAATTACTAATCAAAAAAAGTAATTTTGAAACCGTGTTCTAAGAAAGCGCCTTCATTACCGGAAAAAGTTTTTCTTTTTTTCCCAAAACTTTTTTTCCTTTTTTTGTTTCATTTCATCCAAAAACTGAATATCAAAAATAGAATAAAGTCCTGATCAAAAAAAGAAATGAAAAACAGAAAGTTCATTCACTATGTCATTCTGAAAAAAATATTATTGTAAAAAACTCAAAAAAATTTTTTTTTAATGTCAATAAATTCATAGAAAAAAACACGAGTAAAAAGATTAATTTTATTGACAATAGAAAAAAACATTAAAAAAAGCATAATTAGAATGTAAAAAGGAGTTCATTCATATGGTGAAGACCAATCTTATCTTGAGATATACAAAAAAAGTAAAAAAAAATTGAACTTTGAGAACAAATAATTAAAAAGTGTCCTCTTTTCTGAATGGAAAGAAAAAAACTTTAAATTCCTAGAATTGGATATTAAAATAGAATAAATTCCTGATTCAAGTTGCCACTAAAAGGTGAAATAGTGTCCACTATAGAAGTGGGTTTAGTGGCCACTTTAGTGTCCTCTCCAAGTAGTCCTTGGCGAGCCTTATAGTGGTCATTGAAAATTTTCGCAGTTTGTTCAGAAAAGTTCATAAAAATCCATAAAAAAAGACCCTTATTAAAATGAAAAACAGAGTCCATTAATCTGGTCCGGACCAGATCTCCAGCTCGAGATATAGAACGAGAGAAAGAGGTTTCTGATTCGAAGACGACAGCTCAAATGATGGGGCGGTTTTTTGTGTTGGCCGTGGAGCGCGAGAGAGCCAGAGATGTCTCGGCTTTTGACATCTGCCCATTCCCCCCTAACATCCGAAGATAGCTCCGCCGTTTCATCGCCACTATTTTTGAGTGAAATGAAGGAATTTTGGCTCCGAAAATACTTCTCATGTAACTTATCACGGACCTCGGGAACGGAAAAATCAGACGTTTTTGAGCAATTCTAGGGATCCCTTAAGGGTTCAGGGTCACTAGGAATGCCAAGGTCCGAGTTTGAAGTAATTTGAAAATTTGACAAAATTTAGATATTTTTTTCTTTCTCTGAGGGCTGCTTCGAACACGGCAGAACCTTCAAAATTAAAAAAAAATTCACTGAGAAACAAGGAACCTTTCATAGGCGAGATAAAAGCGATGTCGCTGGCGGTACATTGGCGACATTGCAAAAATGCTGCTCTATAGCTGCTCCAGTCTTTTTTCAAGTGCGAGATGAAAGCGATGTCGCTGGCAGTGCATTGACGACATTGCAAACATTCTGCTCTATAGCCGGTTTCGCATTAAGAAAATTCCCATCTTCTTCTGAGTGCGAGAGAAACGCGATGTCGTTCCTAGAAAAATGTGGGTAGGGCGCGGCAATGAAGCGGTTTATTTATATATATTTAGTACATTGACGACATCGCAAAATGCTGCTCTATAGCCGCCACAGTCTCGCATTTTAAAATATCTAGTCCATTTTCAAGTGCGAGAGAAATGCGATATCGCTGGCGGTACATTGACGACATCGCGAAAATGCTGCTATATAGCCGCTCCACTCTTTTTTCCAGTGCGAGAGAAATGCGATGTCGCTGGCAATATATTGACGACATCGCAAAAATGCTTCTTTGTAGCCGGTTTCGCATTTAGAAGATTCTTTTCTTGAGTGCGAGAAAAATGCGATGTCGCGTCTGGAAAAATGCGGGTCTGGCGCTCCGACAAAGCGGTTTATTTATATAATTAAAAAATTGACGACATCGCAAAAATGCTGCTCTATAGCCGCAACAGTCTCGCATTTCTCTCGGTGCGATCTTGCATTTTGAAAATGCCCATATTTTTTTCAAAGTGCGAGAGAAATGTCGCGGCGACGAGGCGGTTCATTTGCGACATCGCTTTTCTCTCGCGCCAAACTCGACATTTACCTTTAGTGATTCTATAAATTGGCCGCTTCTTAAAGAAATCTGGAGGCCTCAACCGGCGAAAAATCCTCTTTTTTCAATTAATTAAGCCTCAAAAAAAAAACCTTTTTTCAAATATTATAATGACTTCTTTTGATTTTGAGCCGTAAGGTCCCAAAAAAGGCAAATTATAAAAATTTTATATCACTGAAGAATCTCCTTGCCAATTTTTTTAAAAAGGTTCAAGAAACGGGAAAAAAATGCCTATTTTCTTAAAAAAACTTCTGAAGCAGCATTCCCCGAAATACCAAGCTAACACTGACTGGTGAGAAAAAAAATCGGATACTTTCTAAAGTTTCAAAAAAAAAACCCCTTAATTTTTCCTTAACTCCATTCAGAAGCCTCCTTAAACCCACGAAATAGCACGAGAAAATAAGAGGTTCAGACATTTTAAAAGTATTTCTAGCGAAGTATGAAAAATATGCGATAAGAATCAAGGCAAGTATAAAATCCGAGTGGAACGGGGGACAACAAAGTGATAAACTATCCAATCTGATCATATCATCCGAATATATATTTACTATCAAATGGGGGCCGCAACGGCGCCCCGCGGCGATCCCTTTAGTGAGCCCTTGCGAACCGGGGTGAGGACAAACCAAACTATTTTCCTTTCAAATCATCTGATTTTGATGGAAAACAGAAGATAATGATAAGAAGGACGAAAAATGAGGTAGAAATCATTACAAATCAGATTTCCCGAGAGGGTCCCTTAAGGGAACCCTTGGGTTCAAAGTAACGATTACTCAAGTGATCCTTTGGGCTTGTATTAGAACTATATTCCTTGTATATTAATTTTGTAACGAAAAAAACAAAGATAATGATAAGAAGGACGAAAATTGAGGGGAAAAATCTTCCCGAACTGTTTTCCCGAGAAGATCCCTTAAGGGAACCTTTGGGCTCAAGGTGACGAGCGGCCATCACTCTAGTGACCCCTAGGGTTTGTGTGAGAACTATTTTTCTTGTAAATTAATTTTTTTAGACGAAAAATAAAGACAATGATGAGAAGGACGAAAATTGAAGAAAAAATCATTACAAATCAGATTTCCCGAGGAGATCCCTTAAGGGAACCCTTGGGTTCAAAGTAACGATCACTCAAGTAATCCCTTGGACTTGTGTGGAAACTATTTTTCTTGTATATCAATTTTTGTAACAAAAATACCAAAGATAATGATAAGAAGGACGAAAAATGAGGGGGAAAATCTTCCTGATCGGATTTCCCGAGAAGATCCCTTAAGGGAACCCTTGGGTTCAAAGTAACGATCACTCAAGTGAACCCTTGGGTTTTTGTGAGAACTATTTTTCTTGTGAATTAATTTTGTTTAACGAAAAACAAAGATAATGATAAGAAGGACGGGAAATGAGGTAGAAATCCTTACTGATCTGATTTCCCGACGAGATCCCTTAAGTTAACCCTTGGGTTCGAAGTGATGAGCGGTCATCACTTAAGTGAACCTTTGGGCTTGTGTGGAAACTATTTTTCTTGCAAATTATTTTTTTTTTTTGAAGAAAAAGAAAAGATAATGATAAGAGGGACGAAAAATGAGGGGGAAAATCAATCCTATCAAATTATCTTGCGGCGATCCTTTAAGTGATCCCCTGGGTTTAGGTGAACCAAAGCGAGGAAAAAACGAACTATATTCCTTATATTAAAGTAATCTTGATAAAAAACAAAAGATAATGATAAGAAGGACGAAAAAAGATAGCGAAACTATCAAAACATCCCGCGGCGACCCCTCAAGTGACCCCTTGGGTTTGTGAACCAAGGTGACCGCTGGCCGAGCAGAGCAAATGAAGGCCGGCCGCCGTAAGGCCAAACCAAACAAGACACCCCCCGGCCGCCGGTAAATAAACAATCAAAGCAGAGGGACGTCGAATTGGAAACGTACCTCGGATGATGGCGGACGTCGCGGACGTGGCGCGGCGACGTCGCCGCCACGCCGTCTGAATAGTAGCCGTTCTCCGTCGACGTCGTCGAAGCTTCCGTCGCGGTCCGACGTGACGCCGAGATGAGCTTTCTGGCGAGAGCTTGGCCGTTTCTGAAAAAAAAGTAAATCACTCCCATTCACACCACTCTAAAAAGGAGCTAAAAGCGGGACATTTTCCATCGAAAAGTGGCTCACGGCCAATCACTTATTAATGGGCCTGGACCACTTACGCCAGCCACTTGAAAATAAAAAACGAGCATTTTTTTCAGAGAAAACAGAATGGATTTGTTTTGAATAAAAAAATTTGAAAAAAAGCGCAGAAAATTTTTTTCTAGAGTGTTATAAAGTCCAGAGCGGTCCCTATAGGAGCAAAATCAGGACCCCTTGAAGATTTCTCTCTAGGGATCTCTTTACCTCTTCCTATAAGGGTTTTTGCTAGTGGCCCCTATAGGGACGAACATTCTATGATCCCTATGAGCAGAAGCGTTTCCATGCGAAAAACTCATCGAATGAACGTTAATTTAATGAAAAGTACAAAAAGTTAAGGTCCTATAGGGACCACTTGAGCTTTGAAGGGGGGTCAATCTTTAAAAATCTCAAGTGGGGAGAGGATCAAACCTAGAACCCCGTAAAAGGGACCACCATAATTTTACCCCTATAGGGGCCCCTTTTTGCCCACTATAGGGACTGTCTTTTCGCGGTATTTCTTTTCCCTATAGGGACCACTCCGCCCCCAAGACTGTTTAACAAAAGTTCATGTATTTCCAAACAGAATTCCGCCTATCTTTGATTCCCGACCTTCTCCCTTTCGACCTTGATTCTCCAGAAGAAGTAAGCTATTTAACCCCCCTTCAGGAACTTTCGAGAGGTCTCTATAGGGGTTACGGGGGAAAACAGACCCCATAGGGATCGTAAAAGTGGCCCCTATAGGGTTCAGGATCTGACCCCTCAGCCCCTGAAGCTTAAGTGGACCCTATAGGGAAAAATTATCGACTGGCATGTTCCCTATAGGCACCTTATTTGCAAGCTTTCGTGGACCCTGTAGGGGTTTGTGAAGGGGTTCCTAGAGGGGTCCTCCATAGGTTCCCTAAAAATGCCTTTGTAGGGACCATTCTAGAGTTCCTAGCCCCTGGAAATCTAAGGTTGTCAAAAACGAACCTCCTCCCCCCCTTAGGAATTTTAGAGTGGTCCCTAGAGGGGTTACGGGAAAAAAGCTCATATAGGGAACGGAAAAGTGGTCCCTATAGGGGTAAAATCAAGGTGGTCTCTATCTCTTAAAAAAGTTTTTTCTTAGTTTTTCGCAGGGAAATCCTTCTTTGAATAGAGTTCTTAAAAATTATCAACTAGCATGTCCCCTATAGGGACCACTTCTGCAAGCCTTAGTGTAGGGACCGCAGACGAATTTTCAAAAAAATTTTTTTCGAACTTCAATATTACTATGGTTGGATAGCTGCTCTAATTTACTATTCAAAACAGTTTAGTTTTTCGAAAAAGGTTGAGAAAAAAGTTATGGTCAAAACAGTAGTGAAAAAAGTCGCGAAATTTAGTACTGAAAGTTTAGATTTTACACTTTTGGTCGTTCATTTTGTTTTCATATCGGATTTAAATTTTTTAGTAGTTTAGTTCGGTTTTCAAAGTCGTAATAAGTCATTAAAACAGTATAAAACCACAAGTTTGAAGAGAAAAGCTATTTTTTCTTGAAAAATAAAAAAAAATGGCCGCTGCGAGGATTGAACTCGCGATATCAAAACTGTATGCAAGGGCACTTGCGCTGCTCCACACACATCCCTCGGAGATGGAAGGCGTTCGCGCTATACACCACTTCACCTCAAAGTACAGCATTTACCGACTATCTTGTTTAAAAAAAAGTTATGATAGTTGAACAATTATTAGTCACGTGTGTTCGGACCACCTAAAAATAATTTATTCATAGAGATTCAGTTCAAAATGCTTCCGTTTTCGGTGTTTTTTGTTATTTTAAACGTTGGCTTCAAGTTAACAATAATTAAACTTTTAGGCACCGCTAAAATTTTTATTTTATTTTTTTAATTGATTGAAAATTGAAATACGCTAATATTTAAGAAATAAAAAAAGGCGCCAACGACATCTAACCATGTTAAAATAAATTTCGAAATTTTCACTGTCTATTTTTTCTCAGAAAACAAAGTTTTCGGAATAAGTTTTATATTAATAAAATTTTAGTTACAATTTAATCCACAAGTTAAAATAAAAATTTTCTACTTACACGCTCTCGAAACCGAGTACAACATTTTCAACTTTGCGCGGCCTCACGAAGATTAGGCACCGTAAAAATTTTAATTTTTTTGTCTTAAAAGATTTGTTTTTCACTTAAAAATCGAATTCGAAAATAAAAAAAGGCGCCAACGACATGGAACTAGGTTAAAAACCCGAAGAAAAAAAGTAGTTTTGGTTTTTTGTACGACATTCCGCTAAAACGCTACGAAAATCGGGAGAAAAGTATATCAGATTAAAGAGGAAGGTTTTCTCTATGTTTCCACCAAATTTCTCTGTGTTTGGTTCAGTATTGTGCTTTTACGAAAACATCAAACACAAAATCTAAAAAATCAGTGCATTTCACCATCGCAAAAAGGGGCGTGGCTCTGCGGTCTCTACCTTAGTGACCCCTATAGTGGACCCTCTGAGAGCCCCTAATGTTGCCTTTATAGGGACCATTCTAGGGTTTCTAAGCCCCTGAAGAGTAAGGAACGAACGTCAACGAATTAGAAGCCAAGACGTCGGGAGACGACGTCGTCGTCGGGGTGAAGGCGTGGGAGGAGGAATCGAGTGACGGCGTCGCCCCGCTGGAGAACGTCGATCGAAGCAGGGAAGATTTGCTGTGGGATCTGTAAATTTCGGAGGGTTTCTTGTGTCGTCTACGCACAGCAGGGGGGACCGACCAGGGCACTATCAAATTTTATGTGGAATTGCGCCGTTTCAAGCCAATCATTCTTTTGTGTGTGCGTTGGCGCGCGATTCGGATAAATGAGCGTTTCTCGTTTCCACGGCCATTTTCCGCCCCTTGTTATTGTTTGTTTAATTGTTGTGTTGGGTAGTTGGTTTGTACTGTCTGTTCGTCTAATGAGTTGGAAAAAGTCCAATAAGCGTTTTAGTCGAAGTTTTTGGACCGAAGACGGACAAAAAATTCGACATTTCAGACCTATTTTTTCGGGCCAAAATCGGGAAAAGGACGGGCGAATAGGGTATTCTTGAAACTAGTGAAAATTCCAGTATTTTTCAAGACCTTAACATTTGAAGTTTTGAAAAAATTTTCTGATACGTTTTTAGGCCGAGGGACATGAAGGGCCGTAAATTCGGTATTTCAAACCAGTTTTTTCGGGTCTAAATCGGGACAAAGACGGGCGAATAAGGTATATACGAATAGGGTATGGAATCAGCAGCAAATCTAGTATTTTTTTGAAGACCTTAAAATTTGAAGTTTTGAAAAAAATCTTCCTTATTTTTTTGAGCCGAGGGACGTCAAAGATCGGAAATTCGGTACTTCGAACCAATTTTTTCGGGTCAAAATAGGTTGAATGACTGGCGAATAAGGAATTTTCTATCCCAAAAATTTAGCTTAGAAGGAAAAAATAAACCTGTGGAAATCCCTGTAGACGATGGTCGGCTTCTGCTTCAAGTCTTCAACCGTTTGATATTCGGTTCTGCCGCTGAAAAACTCAATTTTCCTGTTTCTCGAATATTTTCATTGTTCTCAAAAGATATTATTCTACTTTTTTGGGAAAAAATAATGCAAAGTAAGCAAAAAATTGGATCATTAGCTTTGAAAAGCGAACATGAACTCGGGCAAGGTCGGAATGGTGGACAGTAGTTGCTAAAAGGGAGAGGCTCAAAAAAGGGAGCAAAAAGGCAGCAAAAGGCAGCAAAAAGGCAACAAAAAGGCAGCGAAAAAGCCACAGAAAGGCAGAAAAAAGGCAGCAAAAGGGCAGCAAAAAGAGTCCTTCATCGAGCCTTCCATTTTCCTGGGATTTGAAAGGCTCAAGAAATGATGGAAATAGAAGGAGGCAGCAAAAATGGTGCATAAGGGCTGAGAAAATGGCGCAAAAAGGCACCAAAAAAGGGATCTTTGTCCCCCCTAAAAGAACATTTCTATAGAACCTTTGAACCCTTCTCGACTTTGCCTATAAAGGAACCCCCTCCAGGTTGAAATTTTGATGGTACTAGGCTGGAGTGTACTTTAGGACCTCCTTTTTTTTCTTGTGAACTTTTTTTTTGAAACGAACCTGTAGCGAAATTTGCTGCCAATGAGGAAAAACCGTTTCTGCGGGGCTATCGGAGGTGCTTTGAGACGGAAAAACGAATGTTGTTCGATGCAACATTTCCAGAGTTGCTTGCAGGCCGGCGGGGAGCACACGTTGAAAATCAGTACCGTGTCTTGCTGAAAAACTCGGAAGTTAGATGGAGATTCGAAATTGATTAAAAATTATTTTAACGGTTTCAAAAAATGACACTTTTTTTGGTTCAAAAAAATAATTTTTTTGATTTTTTTGGAGCCGCTATAAAAAAATTAGGTTTCTTTGTATATGGATTTTATTTTGAAATACTATTTTCGCGAATTTTACGTAAACTTTTTAAACAAAAAAACATAAAATTGGAAATCGTAATTTAATAAAAACCTGAAAAAAATTTCAAATCAGAACGAAAAAGTCAAGAGACCACTGTAGGACCCCTTAAGCTTTAGGGCCTAAGGACCATTTATTGAACCCCTATAGGGCCCACCTAAGTTTCAGCCCCTTTTAGGGAGAACTCCTCCTGAAAGGACTGTTATTCCCTAACCTCTTCAGGGTCCCCTCTGGCATCCCTAGGTATGTTGGAGACACTTAAGTGTTCACTTTGGCTTTTCTCAGAGGTTTTCTGGTAGAAATGACCCATCAACTCGTATAACCATCACTTCTTCTTAATTTAAATAATTCGAGCTAGCCCTTTAGGGACCACTTTTCCTGCCCCTATAGGAGGCACTGAACCTTTCAGAAGTGGTCACTCTAGGGGAGCATACTGGTGGTCCCTGTACGACTTTTGAGCTTTCAAATCAGAACGAAAAGTCAAGAGACCACTGTAGGGACCCCTTAAGCTTTAGGACTTAAAGACCATTTATTGAACCCCTATAGGGACCCCTTTTTGGACCCCTATAGAGGTTTTTTTCCCCGAAACCCTATAGGGACCATTCTAGAATTCTTAAGAAGCATCTGATCATTTTTTTTTTTTTGCTTTTTCATTACAAAAGGTTATCCTACCAGCTGATCATCCGTCCGAACTTGAAGGTAGAAGAGCTTCTTCTTGAAGCTGATCTTCATGATGTGGCTCCACGCGAATTCGTTGATCTGCAAGTAAATCTACAGTATCTATCTACGATCTGCAAGAAAATCTACAGTATCTACTCTTTTAGAAGAAAAAAAATGAGGAATGCCAAAGTGGTCCCTATAGGGTCCCTTGAAGGTTCCCCTCTAGGCTTTTTTTTTCCCTAACCCCTATAGAGACCACTCTTCAACCTTTCCGGCACCTCAAAGTTGGTTTTTTTTCTCGAATAAACAATTCAAACAATATAAGATTCTTCTAGGAACCTTTATAAAACTCCTATAAACCTGTAAATTTTTCTGAAGACGTCAATTTTCACTACAAATCCACAGAATTTCTAGAAATGAACCTTCATTCCTTCATGGAACACTTTGAATCCCACGGAATTTACGCCGAGACCAATGGGAAGCCCTTTTCCATCCTTTCGCCTCATACATGTCGACTCCATACAGTTCGAGCCGTTTCGCGTGTTCCAGAAAGTTGAATTCGGCTTCGGCTGGCGATTGGCCTCTGGAATCATCACTGTTTCTTTTCGATAAACATAACTTCGAGACGTATTCCTCATTTGATGTTGTGGAAAAATATGTATAGCCCATTCCATGCCATCTTTTTCTTAGAGAGCCATTTGGTGTTCTAGTCGAGTTATTACACCTTCAATCGTTCGTGCCAGGAATGGTCTAGTGGCTAGCGGCTTTGCACCACGGAGACTATGACCCAGGTTCGACTCCTTTCGGTGGAATCTATTTTTGCCATTTTTTGTTCTTTCAAAAACTTGATGAAATTGTTAAAGTGAAGCGGAGAAGAACGCTCAAAATTTCCTTTCATGTCGTTTTGGGAAAAATACTTGCGTTACCTAAATTTTAAGGTCCTTAAAAGGTATCATGATGAGAAAGCTTAAGTTCAGCCACAAAAAAACTTTCAAATCGAATTTTGTCACCAAATTTCAAGGAATCCGCATCAGCTTATCGGGATTTGGCGTACTGTAGATTTATATTGTGCATACACCGACCGCGGTTTTTTTGGCGATTATAACGAATTTTTTTCGAACAAAAAAAGGCGGCAAACTTGAAGAAAAATACAATTTGAAAAATTTCAAGACTCAAATTTAGTTTTTAACAATTAAAATTTTTGCAAACAAGTTTCGAAAAAAATGACCTAATTTGAGAATTTTTTTTGTTAGTAAAAAAAGTTAATTTTTTTCTGTAATTTTTTTATCTGTTAATGCCAAAAAAATAGCTTTAATCATTTTTTACAGTGTCTATTGGAGACGGCGTAGCAGAAAACCGGACGGGTGTGAATCGTGTGAAAATCTTTTAAAAAAATTCTTCAAGTCAAAACTGATCAAACTACAAATCCTCACACATGAAGACGATGAAGCTCGGCAACTCGTCGAAGGAAGTCGTCGGGTTGATGGGGCGAAAATCTCAAGTTTTCGTTGTACCCTTGGCCGTTCTCCTCGGAGTTGTAGTCACCAATGTCCGCTGAAATTTTGATTATTTTTTTTTTCCAGTGACACTCCTCGATGAGAAGATCCCGCAAGTCTCAACCTGGACAACTTCCTAGTTTTCCAAGAAAGACCGCCCTAAAGTCAAAGATAACCCTAAAAACCTGTTAAAATGAGCCATATTGAGGCTTTGAGCTTTTATTTCTCGAAAACTAGAGAATTATGCCGGTTGGGAATTCTTCTGATACGTCGAGAATATTCATTTTCAGGAAAATAACTTCCGCAAAACTTTATAAACTTGGAATGGAAAAGAATTTACATTGGAGGGCATAACTAGCCAGGAGAGCAAGAGAAGCTTCGGAGCAGACGAGTCGACCCTCGCGGATGTCGGATCGAACTTGTAGGAATAGATGATATCTGAAAACTATTTATTTTTCAATTTTCTCCATCGAGCAACTTTATCAAGAATATAGTCAATGCTTCTCGACTTGAAATACGAAGGAGGCGGGGCAAGGGAGGGGACGCGTAGCGTGTGCGTTCGCGGTTCTTGGCACGAGTTTAATTCAATCGCCGTCTACTATTTAAAAAGCTCGGCAACCGTTCTTTTTCTGTATTTTCAACTATTTTTGATGCCCACATGAACATACAAATAATTGAAAAAGGAATGAAAAAAGCGAAAAACGGGCTTTTCAAAGAGTCGCTGGCGGTTGAATTGAACTGGCGCCAAGAACCGCGAACGCACACGCTACGCGTCCCGCCCCTTGCCCCGCCTCCCTCGCCTTTCAAGTCGGGGAAAAATGGACTATACCATGAGAACCCTTGAAGGTTGTTCTCCAGGGACCTCTTTCATAATACCAAAAATCCACCATAGTCTATAATAATATGTAGATTAACTTCTCGAAACAGACCACTTTCAGTAACAATGAAATATTCTCCTAGCCGAATTTCAAGTTTTTTTTTCAGAAGGAAGTTTCTCTTTTCACCTGGTATACTCTTCCCGGAGTTTGCTCGGTTCACCGACATAAAACTTGACCCGGAAGGAAAGTTGGTACGGTGGGCACATCATTTGCTTCCGAACGCTTTTCTGGGCGTCAAGCCATTTCTGAAAAAAAAAGTCTTTCTCGACTTGAAATGTCATACAAGGGTGATGCGTTGCGTACGCGACGCGGCTTTGTGCGGGGAATTTTATTTCAAATGTAAGTCCCCTTTTTTTCTCATTTTTGTTTTGATTTTTTTTCAACAGTTTCTCATTTTTTTCATAGTTTCGAAAATTTTGGTTGAACGAATAAAATTATGAAAAAAACTTTTTTTCCTGCATTTTATTCTTTCAAAAACTCGAAATTATATTGATTCATAAATCAATATCATAAAAAAATTCCTTAAGTGACCACTCACCCTCTGCTGCATATCCCTCGTGTCGACAATGACAAATTGAAGACCAAAAATAGTCTTTTTCCACGAGTTCCAGATGTTCGAAGACCTTAAATGATGATAATGTGGTTCAGTCTACAGTAATCCGTTTTCGCTTCGAGACCCAAAGTTTTTTTTCAGTGTTTTGAAGAGATAACGCGACTAAAAGTAGCGGAAATTCATAGCCAATTACGAGCTTTTTTTTTTCCTTTTTTGACAGTTTCTCAATAAATTGTAACTTTTATGCGTTCAAAAATATTCAGCTGGACGGATAAATCCATATTCGTTTGAAAAATCGAATTTCTTCTTTTTACATATTTCTTCATATTTTCCAATCCCTGACTACCATTTCTACATAAATTTCGCCGAATTTACGACATAAATTTGACTTTTTTGCTGTCTTAGTTTTTTTCCAACTTTTTCGGCATTCTGGAAAAGTCGGCGTTTCGGTCGGTCGATCGGTTTGGAAAACTAGGCCACGCCGCAATTTTGCTCCATGGAACACTTCGAATTTCAAACTTTTTTCTTCTTTTTTGGATTTTTCTATCTTTTTTTAATTTCACTAGGAAGGTTTCCGTTTATTTTCATTCAACTCTATCGTTCTCGTGAGCAAAATACGATAGTCACTACATTTAAAAAAAACTGAACCATTCCTTATTTTTTATACGTTTCATCGGTGATATATTATCTTTTGTAGGATTGAATTTTGTTCCTTGTCTTTTTGTATATAGTTTACGTATGATATCATTTATGCTTTTTTATTTCGCTCATTTTGTCATGTGCAGTTATTTTGGACCCAGAAAATCAATGAGATTTTCAAAATTGAATCAGTTTATAATTAGGTACCGCAAGCCATTTCTTCGAACCGATTCAAAAAATATGTTTTTCACACTGTTCGATAGAGGAGACTGTCAGTTTTCATAATCCGTTTAGTTTTTGAAAAAAGGTTCACTAAGAAAAAAGTTATGGCCAAAAAACGAGCGCGCGCGGCGTTCAACTGGAGGTAAAATCTCACGGTTTACCCGCTGCCGCACGCTTTCTTTTTAAATGTTTTTGCGCATTTCTGGACCGTTTTTAAATCGGTTTTTTGTTCTGAGAAGTTGTCAGAACTGAGCTTAACGTTTTGGTATGAATCTTTTGTATAACTATCATAAGAATTTTTGATAAAATATCAAAAAACTACTTAGAAAAAAGGTCAGAAAGAATTTTCTGCTTATTTTTCTTTTTTCTAATCAGAAAAATTATTATCATTTAATTTGGAAAAAAGAAAAAATGAAAAATAGTTTTATTTCAAAATAAAACAGGAAAAAGTGCAATTTGACTCCGAAAAACGGCTCCTGCGACATTTAAAAGTGCGCATCAGTGTGTTTGACGCAAACACTGCTACGGACACTTACACGAAATCTTCCGAAATTTCAAAAAAAATTGCCATTTTTTCGAGGTTTTCAAAGCCGTTATTTTTTTCGCGTCGATCGATTTTTTTCATAATTTTTTCATTGATAGAGTTTTGAACGCTTAATAACCTGATCAAAAGTATAGACGCGATCCTATTCTCTCATGCGACAACGAGGCAGGCGAAAAAAAGGAGGTTTTGGTAAAAATTCAAATATAATTTAATTCGCTGTCCCAATAATTATTTTTCATTCTGAATTTTTTTATTTTTTTGAACACATTGTGAGGTTTTTAAATCAAATAAAAAAAGTATACCATGTCGCTGAAATTTTTTTCGCATTTCAGCTTCAAAGTTTGGTGTCACTTTACAAGCTTTAATATTTTTCGCGTCGGTAGATTTTTTTCATTTTCACTTAAAAAATAAAGAAAGTGTTAATGTATAACATACTTAAAATTTAGAAGCGTTCCTCACTTGGTTTTCTGAAACGCGACGATTTTGTGAAACTTGTCAGTTTTTTTCGTGTTAAATCTTACTTTTTCGCTTATTTTTGAAAAATACATAGTTTTAAAAATATTCAGTCTTGTAGAGCGTTGTCGATTACATAGATTAACAGAAACAGTTTATTTTTAAAGTTGAACTTTAGCTAGTATAAACGCCTCAAAACCGTTTCTGCAACAAAAAAATCGTCATTTTGGTGGCGTGAAGGGGAGGGGCTTTGCGCTCCCTATTTATAATTGTGGAATGTAGTAATTATCGTATTTTTGCTCACGAGAACGATACAGTTGAATGAAAATAAGCGAAAACCTTCTTAGTGAAATTAAAAAAGGAAGAAAAAATCAGAAAAGAAAAAAAAAAGTTTGAAATTCTAAGTGTTCCATGGAGCAAAATTGTGGCGTGGCCTAGTTTTCCAAACCGATCGACTTTTCCAGCATGCCTCATTGTTGTCGGAATTGCTCGGGAAGTCCCGAAAAAGATAAGAACTATGATCGAAACGTCGTTGTGACCTTCTCGAGCAAGGCGGCGCCGACGGCCCTTCTGGGGATCCTGAAGACGTGACGCGATCCGTCGAGGAAGCCGACGCTGCACTCGATGGTGTTGTGGACGCCGTCCGGAGACCAGGGCGATGTCGCCGACGATGTCGTCGCTTTGTTGAGCGTCTCGACGCGACGCACGTCGTAGCTCCCCGTTCCCATCGGCATTTTTCCCAGTTGCTCACGTCATTTTCGCCTGAAAATTGATGAAACTGTGACCAATTTACAAAATAGTTTGAAAAACAACCAAAATAGCAAAAAAAAATTGAAATTTTAGTCGTAAAATCGGCAAAATACATGAAAAGATGACAGTCAGGGATTGAAAAATGTGAAAAAAACTTTGACAAAAATCGAATTTTCAAACGAAAAAAATACGGAACGGCTGAAATTCAAATAAAAATACAGTTTTTGAAATCAAAGTTTTTCATGAATTGGAAAAAAATTGCTTGAAACGGAAAAAAATTGTAAGAATGGTCTCAAATTCAGAAAAATCCACAAATTTCATTTTTCAATTTTTCTGATTTTTTTCAAAACAATTAAGCTCCGATTACTTTTGAAAAAAAGCGTTTCTTTCAAAATTTACAAAAATTCAAAAGAATTAGACTTCATTCCAACGCAAACTGAACACAGAAACTATCCAAAAATTCAAAAATTTTTCGGAAAAAAATCAAAAATTTTTTTCAATTTTTCACACTAATTTTTCTAAAAAAAGAAAAAAATTTTTCTTAACGCCTTCATTTTGAACAAAAATTTAAATGATCCAAAAATTTTTTTCATCCAAAGCAGTGCAAAGTCAAAAAAACTAACACAAAAGGTTGAATTTTTCAGAAAAACTTTCCATTTTTTTCGATTTTCACAAAAAATCCCTGTTTTTTCGTGAAGGACAACAAGGAATTCAATACAATAAAAATGAATAAACTTCAGAAAAAGCTCGAAAATCATCCAAAGAGTTCAATTTCTTAAATAAGTCCTAATTTTCAAAAGAAACATTCTCTCACTCCGAAAAAATGCAATTATTCTAATTTTTTTTTCTCTATTTTTCACAAAAAGCTGTATTTTTTCAGAAAGACGAAAAGGAATTCAATCGAAAAAGCCAAAAAAAAACTTAGAAAAAGCTTGGAAACTATCCAAAAAGTTCACCTTTCTCAGAAGAAACATTCTCTCAACACTCATCAATCCGAAAAAAAGGCGAAACATTTTTTTAGTTTTTTTAATTTTTTTAATTTTCTAATTTTTTTCATTAAAAAAACTCTTCATTTCTCACAAAAAGCCCTGTTTTTTTCGGAAGGAAAAGAAGTTTTTAAATCGAATAAGCCAGAAAAACTCAGAAAAAAATCCCTGAAATCATCCAAAAAAATAAACAATTTTCTGAAAGTATTCGTAATTTTTTTCAAAAGAAATACTTTTTTTCAACACTCATCAATCCGAAAAAAACGCAAAAAAATTCTAGTTTTTCCATTTTTTTCACAAAAAAATCGTCTTTTTGAAAGAGCGACAAGAAATTCAATCGAAAAAAAGCCAACATAAAACTCAGAAAAAAACTTAAAAACCATCCAAAAAGTTCAAATTTCTCAAAAAAAGTCCTAGTTTTTTTTCAAAATAAATATTTTTTTCAACACTCATCAATCTGAAAAAAATGCAAAAAAATTTGATTTTTTTATTTTTTTCACAAAAAAAGGCCTGTTTTTTTCGGAAGGACGATAAGCTATAAGAATCGAAAAAAACCTGAAAAAAACTCATAAAAACCGTAAAAAAATCATCCAAAAAAGTACAAATTTCTTAAAAATAGTTGTAATTTTTTTCAAAAAAATTTTTTTTCAACACTCATCAATCCGGAAAAACTGTAAAAAAAAATCCAATTTTTTTCGATTTTCACAGAATAATCGTCTTTTTTTCTAAAGAAAGACAAGTATCTCAAGCGACTAAACTCGAGAAAAAAAAAAGTCAGAAAAAGCTCGAAAAACCATCCAAAAAAAGTTCAAATTTCTTAAAATAGTCGTAATTTTTTTCAGAAGAAACATTCTCTCAACACTCATCAATCCGAAAAAAACAATGCAAAAAAATTCTATTTTTTTTCCGTTTTTTTCCCAAAAAGCCGTATTTTTTTTCGGAAGGACGACAAGTTTTTCCATCGAAAAAAAGCCAACAAAAAAACGCAGAAAAAAATCTTAAAAAACCATCCAAAAAAAGTTCAAATTTCTCAAAGTAGTCCTAATTTTTCTCAAAAAGAAATACTTTTTTTCAACGCTCATCAATCCGAAAAAAAGGGCAAAAAGCCTAATTTTTTTCTCCATTTTTTTCACAAAAAGCTCAAAACAAAAAAATCTCGAAAAATCATCCACAAAAAAATAAATTTTTTTCTAAATTATTCGTAATTTTTTTCAAAAAGAAATATTTTTTTCAACACTCATCCATCCGAAAAAAAAGTTCTAATTTTTTTCTCCATGTTTTCACAAAAAAACGTCTTTTTTTGAGAGGACAACAAGGAATCCAATCAAAAGAAACCAAAAAAGCAAACTCGAAAGAAAAAAGTTTGAGAATTAAAGGAGCAACTGAAGGAAGGCGTCTTTAACCCTCTTTAATCCAGGCAAACATTTTTTTCTGCGCGGAGAAGGAAGAGAAGAGTGGAAGTAGAAGAAGAAGAAGGAAAAAATGATGGCCGTCCATCGGGCAGTTGAAACGACAAAAAAGGTAATTGAGTCGGTTTCGGGAAAAGGGAAAGGAAAAAAAACGGATCCAGCTTCAAATCGTTTGAATTATTTTGAGTGGAGTGATGGTTATACGAGTTGATGGGTCATTTCCTTCTAGAAATCCTCTGAGAAAAGTCCAAGTGAACACTTAAGTGTCTCCAACATACCTAGGGATGCCAGAGTGGTCCCTGAAGAGGTTAGGGAAAAACAGCCCTTTCAGGGGAAGAAATAGCGCTTCCTATAGGGGTAAAATCAGGTGGGCCCTATAGGGGTTCAGGGTTTGACCCCTCAGTCCCTAAAGCTCAAGTGGCCCCTACAGTGGTCTTTTGATTTATTGTTCTGAAAAATTCGTACAGGGGCCATTAGCATGCTCCCCTAGAGTGGCCACTTCTGAAAGCTTCAGTGCCTCCTATAGGGGCAGGAAAATTGGTCCCTAAAGGGTTAACTCGAATTATATAAATTGAGAAGAAGTAATGATTATCCGAGTTGATGGGTCATTTCTTCCAGAAAACCACTGAGAAAAGTCCAAGTGAACACTCAAGAGTCTCCAAAATGCCTAGGAACGCCAGAGTGGTCCCTGAAGAGATTAGGGAAGAACAGCCCTTTCAGGGGGAGTGCTCCCTAATGGGCTGAAACTTAGGTAGTCCCTATAGGGGTTCAGGGTTTGACCTCTAAGTCCCTAAAGTCCCTCTAGGGACCACTCTGCCGTTCCTCACTAAAAAATTCATCAAAAAACATAGAAGAGTGGCAAAAAATCGAGAAAGTCGGACGCACAAGCATATTGAACTCAAGTGGCCCCTACAGTGGTCCTTTTACTTTTAGTTCTGATTTGTAACTTAAGAAGTCCTACAGGGGCCATTAGCATGATCCCCTAGAGTGGCCACTTCTGAAAGCTTCAGTGCCTCCTATAAGGGCAGGAAAAGTGGTCCCTAAAGGGCTAGCTAGAACTATTTAAATTGAGAAGAAGTAATGGTTATACACGCTGATGGGTCAGTTTTTCGAACGTAAACTAATGGGATATGTGTAAGTGTTCACTTAAGTGGCTTCGAGTTCATAATTTGATTTCTTGAATAAAAGCTGAATTAAATTTGCAACCGCTTTTTTCGGAAATTCTTAAAGGAGCATAAAAAAACCAGGTTAACAAATATTTTCTGCTGAAAAAAATTGATCAATAATCTGTAGAAGTAGCTTTTTGCAGAAAATCGTGAAAAAAAAATCAATGTCGATCAAAAAACGACCATTTTCCAAGCCTTTTTGCTTCTTACCACTAACAAAAAATACAGAAAAAGTTCAGCTGAACCGCAAAAAATGGCAGAAAACATGAGGGGAACCGGATCTGTCACCAGATATGTGTAGGACGGCGAAAACATACAAATATCCGAGTATTTCTATATATTTGAGGCCCCGGGGCATCGTCGGACCGACTGGCCCCTCTTCACTAAAAATTGGACACGGCTAAGAAAAATCGCTGCAAAAAAACGTTGAAGGCCGGTTGAGCAGAATACCCAACTGCTAAAGGAACACATTAATGGGAAATTTTTTAGTGGCCACTCAAGGGTTTTGACGTTTTAGTGGCCACTATAGTAGTCAAATAAGTGGCTACTTAAAGGGTGGAAAATTAGTGGCACTATATAGGTCTTAGTGCTACTATTAGACCACTAAACATTTTAGTGGCCACTTTAGGGGTCAATTGATCAACATAACTGGTCCAATCTGTTTGTTTTAAAATTATCAGAGTTACTGGAAGGAACACTGGATGAAAAACTACTGAAGTGGCCACTATAGAGGGAGATTTAGTGGCCACTTTAGTGTCCTCTCCAAGTAGTATTTGGCGAATCTCTATAGTGGCCTCCAAAAATGTTGGGCCCAATACTTTTCAATGGTCTGGTAGTCCCACTTAGACTTCTAAAGTGACCACTGACTGTTTGCCTTGTAAGTGGCCACTAATCCAATTACTAAAGTGACCACCAAAACGTCAAAACGCTCAAGAGGCCACTAGAAATGTTTCACAGTTCTTCTTGCAAATTTACCAAGATTTAAGGTTCACAAAAATCAAAAATTAATCGAAAAATAAAACGGAAACTAGTGGCCACTATAGAGGTGGGTTTAGTGGCCACTTTAGTGTCATCTCCTGAGCCTCTATAGTGGCCACTAAAAAATTTTCGCAGTAACAACTCAAAATTGAACTAATAAGCTTCAATTTAATCGCAAAAGTGACAAAAAAAGGTTTAATTTGACAGCAAAAAACGGCATAACACAGAAATGAGGCTGGATGAGAAGCTTAAATATTCAAAAATCCGATTATTACCAGATTTTCAAGACCCCGAGGGCATCGCCGGACCGACTGGCCACTCTTCATCACAAATTGGGCGGCTCGCGACGATTGCCGGGTGCAAGAAACGGGAGGGATTAGTTGTACACTTAATCGAATATTCGACGGCTCTCTGTGTGAGGGGGCCGCTTTCGACTTTTCAGGAGTCACCCCCCTCGGCCGAATTCCTAATTTATCCTTTCAAAATAATTAGCGAACCCACTTGATTTATCGCTTTTTGGCACGGGAATTCCATTCATTTTTCCGGTTTTTAGGTGATTTTTCGAGCTGCAAATGATCCTTGGCTCAACTCTTAGGCCTTGTGATTTCAGAAGAAAGATATAAAATTTACTCGAGTTACTAAGAAAGAGACTAGGGACCACTTAAAAGGCTCCTCGAGGACTACTTGGAGAAGACACTAAAGTGGCCACTGATAATCTTCATAGAAGCCATTATTTTGCGTCTTAGTGGCCACTATAGTACTGTGAAATTTTTTAGTGGCCACTATAGTAATCCAATTAGTGGCCACTTAAGGGGTTAAGAATTAGTGGCCACTAAAGAGGTCTAAGTGCTACTATATACTTGACCACTAAAAATATTAGTGGCCACTTTAGGGGTCACTGAATCAACATAACTGGTCTAATCTGTTTGTTTTAAAATTATCAGAGTTACTGGAAGGAATACTGGATGAAAAACTACTGAAGAGGCCACTATAGAGGAGGGTTTAGTGACCACTTTAGTGTCCAAAAAACTCAACCAAAAAAACTTGAGAAAATGAGAGAAATTTGAGCAAAATTGGCTCTTCGACCTTATTCTCATGGTCAGCTTCATTAAAATAAAACCTTCAATAAAATTCGAAAAAAAGAGCTTTATTCAAAAACTTTATGAAAGCAACTTCAAAAAAGTCAACTTCCACTTGAAACCAGCCAAAAAAACCACGTGATATGCAACTATAAAATTAATTTTCTGCGTCTCAAGTTAATTTTTGGTCCTCTACTTAATTTTATTACTTCAATTAAGCCTCATAAAATGAACAAGAAATGAGAAAAAGCTCTTATTCCGAAGAACAACTCCTCAGAAGTCCAGAAAAAGGGCCTATATAAGAGAAAAAACGGAAAATTTTTTTCTTTCTTTTGACTTTTTAACTGATTTCTTGGCTTTATTATTGCAATAAGATCATAAAATTTACATAAACTCATAAAATAAATGAGATTTCAAAGAAAAAAACTGTACAGAAACACAAGAAAAGTGTTAAAAAAAACGTGACGAATGTCTTTTCAGTTCAAAAATGCAACAAAAACTTGATTTTTCTGCTTTATCCGCCGATTTTTACTCAATTTTTCAACTAGGTTTTTTACTTAGAAAAGCAAGAGTGATCCCTAAAGGGGTTGAGAAAAGAAGAGCCCCTGTAAAGAACCAAAAAATGCTCCTACAGGGGTGAAATTTTGGTGGTCCGTCCTTATAGGAGTTTGGGGGACGAACTTTTGCAGCTTCTGGGATTAGAGTGGTCCCTATAGGGGTTTTTCAACTTTTGTTCTGACAAAAAGCGTATAAAGATCACCAGCATGCTCCCCTAGAGTGGCCACTTTCGCAATTTTTCGTGCCCCTATAGGGGCGGGTAAGATTTGAGAATCAGGGTCCCACTACTGTTTTCTCGAAGGTAACCTACACGGACAATTCAAGGTGTCACTTAAGGGACCACTCCGCCGTTCCTCACTAAGAAAATCATCGAAAAAACATAGAAAAAGTGACAAAAAATCGAGAAAGTCGGACCCATGAGCATATTGAACTCAAGTGGTCCCTATAGGGGTCTTTCAACATTTCTTTTTTTCTGATTTGATAGCCAAAAAAACGTATAGAGACCACTGGAGTGGCCACTTTTTCAATTTTTCGCGCCTCCATAGGGGAGGTTAACTTTTCCCTTAAAGGTAACCTACAAGAAAAATTCAGGTCGTCCCTTAAGGGACCACTTTAGCGTTTTTGATCATCAGAAAACACAAAAAAAATGCCAAAAAAAGACGAACAGCTGGCAGAAAAAAAGAGAGAAAAAGTTGTGGAATCCTTGTTTTTATGAGCCAAGAAGCACAGAGAAGCGGAAAGAAAAGAGCTTCTTCACTTTCTTTTTTTTCTCTCTGCCCAATTAGGCAACGTCTTCTTCGAGAGAAAACGGGGATTTCAACATGATTAGGTGCCGAGCTTTCGTGTTTTTTTATTCTCTTCCAAATAATTTCTTGGCCCATAAATTTTCGGTATGAAGATTGCTAGGTAGGGGAGGAAAAATCGTGGATTTATACTGAAGATGAAACAGGAAAAGGTTAGAAAAAAATCACAAAAAAATATTGAATTTTTTTGAAAAAACTTTTCGTATGACCTAGTGAACCAAAAAAACGACTCCCATCCTTAAGAATTTCTTGTTCCTTTGAAAAGTTCCTTTAACCACAAAAATTTGAACAAAATCTTGAGCAGACTATAGCTTGAAGGGGGGCAGAAAAATCCAAATAAATAAATAAAAATTACAGAAAAAAAATCAGAAAAATACTCCAAAATCACTCAAAAAAAGCTTCTCAGTAGACCCTAAAACACTGTAAAATTTCAGAAAAACCTTTACCAAGCCAGAAAAAATTCTAAAAAAAGCCCCAAAAGCTACGGAAAAAAATTGGGATCTCAACTTCTCGCACAAAATATTTAAAAAAATGAATTTTTCATTTTTTTGAAAGATTTTTTCAGCACAGACCAAATTTTGAACTTCATGGAGAATCGAGTTCAAAAATTTTTTGCAGGATCTCAAAAAAATTCAATGAAAAAAATCATCTAAAAAAACAAAAAGTTCAGGGAAAAAAATCTGGACTAAATAATCCAGAAAAAAACATAAAAAAATCATGGTCAAATTTCAGAAAAACCTCTACAAGATCCGAAAAATTTTCAAAAATTACGAAAAAAACTACGTGAAAAATGTGAACAGAAGCCAGGGAAATCAGAAGTCTTCACAAAATATCCCAATATCACTGTCAAATCTCAGTAAAAACCTCCGAAATATCATAAGAAGTTCTAAAAAACAAGGAAAAGCTTCAGGAAACAAGTGGACGGAAGCCAAAAAGTTCAGAAAAAAATCATGGTCAAATTACAGAAAAAAACCTCTACAAGAATTCTTGAAAAAAACAAAAAAATAATCGAAAAAAATTTGAGGCGGACGCCAAGAAGTTCAGATATCTTCACATTAGACCTCAAAACCACTGTCAAATCACAAAAAAACCTCCAAAATATTGGGAAAAAAATTCTCAAAACAAAGAAAAGCTGCAGAAAAAAGGGGACGGAGTCCAAGAAAAGAAAAAGAAAATATCACTTTCAAATGTCAGAAAAACCTCTGCAAGATCCGAAAAAGTTTCAAAAACCACGAAAAACTCCGTGAAAAAAGTGGACAGAAGCCAGGAAAATCAGAAATTTTCAGAAAAGACCCCAAAATCACTGTCAAATCTCAGAAAAACCTTCCACATTACCAGAAAAAGTTCTAAAAACCACGAAAAGCTCCAGGAAAAAAAAGTGCGGACGTCCGTCGGGGAGGTCACTCGAGACGTCGCCGAGCCCGGAAAAGAGCGACGCCGAAATCCCCCGGGCGGAGGATTCGTCATGATGGATCGCGGCCAAAAACGGCGCCCGACGTTGCCGAGTGGCGTTTCCATCATTTCCCGGCTTCTCCCCAACCCACAAAAAGATACTTCTATCAATTCGAATTATTGCACTTTCCATCTCTAAAACCATTTTCTCAGAGAATTGACTCTTACTGGGAACTTTAATTAGGCTCCGCCCCTTTTTCAAAGTACGGTGGAAAAGCTACCGAAAATATATTTTCGCCCCTCGAGTCTCATCGTTTCACTCAGAGAACGTGTGTTAGAAGCGCTAGAGTGGTCCCTATAGGGGTCTCAGGTCTGATCCTTAAGTTCCTAAAGCTCAAGTGCTCCCTATAGCGGGTCTTTTTTTATTATTTAAGAGTTGAAAAAGACAATATTAATCAATTTAACTGATGTCTATTGATATTTTCTCATTCAACTAACATTCCCCTATAGGGACCACTTGAGCTTTAGGAAATCGGAAAAAAGGATCAGACCCCTAAAGGGACCACCTAAACTTTACACCGCCTTAAGAACTCCAGAGTGGTCCCTACAGGAGATATCTAACGTTTGCAGGTTTTACTGGAAGGTCAAGTGGTCCCTAGAGGGGCTCCCTAAGATATCCACTATAGGGACCACTCTGGAGTTCTTAAGTGTATAATGAAACTAAAGATGTTCCCTAGAGTGGCAAGCTTCAGTGGCCCCTGTAGGGAAAGGTGAAGTGGTCACTAGGGGGTAACCTTTATCAGCTCCTATAGGGACCACTCTGGAGCTTCCAAAGCTTGAAAGAAACTGGAAAAAACGACAAAACGCGCCCCAAGGCGAAAGAAAAAGCGAGAAAAAGCCCATCACGCTGTGTAGTACAAGGGTGTGATGATAGTGATTGGGTCGAGAAAAGAACGAAAAAAAAAAACGGACAACCGAGGCGAATGTCGTTCTGATGTGTGTAAAAAGAGAAAGGAGCCAAAAAGTCGGAGCCAAATGAACGATCGACGCGTCACTGAACGTGACAGAAAGTGTGAAAAAATAGTATACCTCGAGAAGAAAAAAAAATCTATTTTTAGCCTCTTTTTGAGTGAAAATCGGTGCTTTGAGCCATTCCAAATGCGGTCAGCTACAAGATAAGTCTTTGAAACCTGAAAAAAAAAACGTAAAATTCTGCAAAGGTTTACGAAAATAACATGGAAGGTCATTTTTGAGTAGAGTTTGGAATTTTCTATAAATTACATACGAAAAACGTTTTGGACTCCTAAAGTTTGGAGGAAAAAAAGTAATTTTTGGAAGAAAAATAGCTATCGAACTTATTTGGAAAAGGTTTTACTCATGAAATTTTAATATTTTCATCAGAATCCGTCAAAAAAAAATAATGGCAAAAAAAACGATAGCTGGGATACAGATTCGAACCTTCGACATTTGCTCCGCAAAGCTAGCGCGCTAGCCACTGCGCCACGCTCCTAACTGCGGTGCAATGGCTTGTTGCGCGCACACATTCCTTCCAAACGGTGTGTCATGGTTAAGGATAGAAACTTTAAAAAATCATATCTTCAAAACGAAATGTTTGCGCAGATAGCGACTGTAGGGGATCAATTCCCAGTCCATCAAAGATTGTTCGAGCAAATTTTCAGAAAATTCCAAACCCTACGCAAAAATGACCTTCCATATTCTTCTGAAGCTCAATTTTGTGGAAATTAGCTTTTTTGCTCAATTTCTGAGATTTTTTTGGTTTTTACATCGAAAAGGGGCTTTGAAACAACAAAAAAAAACGCCTGAACCGTGTTTTCCTTACCAAAAAAGCCGATAAAACGTCTTTTCCTTAAAAAATGTAGCGCGAAGAAGCTTTTCGCACCATTTTTTTGAGTAATTTCAAAAGAAAAATTTGATTTTTTTCTGAAAAACTATGAAGTAAATTCAACAAAAATGTATGAATGGCTCCTTTTTTTCAGAATCTTCAAAAAGGTACGCTGTTTTCAAAGAGAAACAGGATTGACTTTTTGAATTTCCACGAAAACTGGTCAGAAATTATTTTTTCTAGACGTGATAATGGTTCTCCAGATCATCCACGTCGTTATGGCAGACAAAAATCACTCAAGTGGCCCCTTGCGCAATACCCGAGCACTTTTGTTTTTTTCAACGATTTTCGTGTCTATTTTTGGACGGAATTACCTAGAAATACGGATTTTGAACTCTTTTTCAAGTTAAAAAACACAATTGCTTTTTCAAAAATTTTTAAAATGTCAAGGTTTTTTTAGTTCAAAAAAATTTCGATTTTCATGCTTTTAAATGACTATTTTTTTCGGTAATTTCGAAGAATATTCATCAATTTTAATGAAATAATGACAAAAAAAGCAAAGAAAAAAAGCTCCGAAATTCCGTCAAAAAAGCCAATTTTCTGCACAATCCAAAGCAAAAAGTCTCACTTTACAGCGGAAATGAGGAACAGATTGATCTTCAGAAAAAGACGAAAAATTCTAAAACCTTTCAAAAATGGGATGAACTGGGAAAAAAGGAATATGAAGATAACTTTCAAGCCTCAAAATAACTGGAAAGGAAAAGTTTTGCCTTTTCCTAACCAAATCAACTAATTAGCGGGCAAGTAATTGGTTTGGGAAAATTGGGAACTTTTTCAAATTTTCTCTGTAGAAGCGTCATAAAATGGGATATTGAAATTCAAAAAAAGAAAATTTATTTCAGTTTGCCGTTTCACCGAGAGTTTAAAAAAAGCTTCGAAATTTACAAAGCTGATAGCTATTCTCTCAATGAAATTTAAAAAAAGTTCTTGAAAAAAAGCCGGTCGGTTCGGTCGATTTATTTGAAGCGTTCGTTTTTTTGAAAAAAATCTCAAATTTTTTTCATTTCTAGATTGTCTGAAAGTCTAAAAATGCGTAGAATTCTCAATTTTGGTTTAGTTTTTCAAGTTTCGAAAAAAGCAATCAAACTAGGAAATGTTGTGTTTTTTTCAATAAAATTTCATGTTAAACTTTCTTTAATTTGATCTGTAAATCAAAATGTGTCAAAGTGCTAAATAGTTTTTTTATCAAGACTCGAAAAAATATTTTCGGCGGAAAACAGACAATAAAAAAAGGATTTTTGCAAAAATTTGATGACGAGATTTTCATGAAAAAAATGACTTCGAAAACTGGTCATGAAAAAGAAAAATTCATAATTGACTCGAAACGGCTTTTTTTAAAATATAAAATAAATCATGTTACGTTGGAAAAATGAGAAAAGTTGACGTTCCTTTTGGGAGAGTTCAAAAAAAGGGCGCGAAACTTTGAACTTCAAATTTCATCACTTTTCTGTTTTAAACACTCATTTCGCGTCGAAAAAACAGCGAAAAATCGGCAAAAAAACTTTTTGTTTCTCGATAATCATTAATTTGAACGCGAAAATGTTGAGAAAGGCTCGAAAATTTCGAATATGAAAAAAAAACAAAATCGACCGAATCTGCGGCGATTGTCAAAAGATTCGTAGAAAAAATCTAGCGCCTTTAAATACCAGATAAACCAATTTTAAACCCTAAAAGAGACCTTAGGAATCAATTTTAGACGCAAAAAGGCCCCAGAAACTAACTTTAAAAGCTAAAAATGATCCTAAAATCGACTTCAAACGTTAAAAATACCTCTGGAACCAATTTTAGACCCTTAAAGGACCCCAGAAACTAACTTGAAAAGCAAAAATGGTTCTGGTCCTATAATTGACTTCAAACGTTAAAATTCTATAGAAACTACCTTCAAACGCTAAAAAAAGAACCCACCAGAAATCGATTTTGAACTCTAAAAAGGACCGCATAAACCAACTTTAGACAAAAAAAGACCACAGAAACTCACTTTAAAAGCTAAAAATGGTCCGAAAATCATTTTCAAACGTTAAAAATACCTCTGGAACCAATTTCAGACACAAAAAAAACCCACAGAAACTAACTTTTAAAGCTAAAATTGGTCCAAAAACCCACTTCGAACCCAAAAAATACCTCTGGAACCAATTTCAGTCGCTAAAAGTCCCTAGAAACCAATATTATGAGCTAAAAATGGTCCAAAAATCGACTTCAAACGTTAAAAGTCTATAGAAACCACCTTCAAACGGCGAAAAAGAACCCAGAAATCAATTTTAAACTCTAAAAAGGAACACAGAAACCAACTTTAGACGCAAAAAGGCCCCAGAAACTGACTTTAAACCCAGAAAATGCTCCACAAGGCGTTTTTTAACGCTGAATAAACCTCAGAAACTGATTTCAAACGCAAAAACAGGCTCCAGAAATCGGCTCAAGCCCCAAAAAGGTACAGAAACCGGCTCTGAACGACAATGAGCACATAAAATACGCGGGAAACCAAGAAGATGACAAAAAAAAAGGAACTAGAGAGGTCAGCGACATGCACCCGAGTGTGACGTCACGATCCCTGTGCACACAAGTCGGAAGACGTCGGGTTGGTCAAATCGACAGGTCAAAAAGGTCTCTTCGAATATTGGGCTTGCCTTGGAGCTGAGTGAATAACTCGAAAAGTCCAAAAATTTTGATCGAAATAGAATTAAAAACAAGGTGTGTTCAGAGTAATGGTTAGAGAAAGAAAAAGATAACTAAATTTTGAAGAGTCAGAGATGATTTTGACGGCAAAAGCCTCAAGGAGATACTTAGGGGATTCCAGAGTGATCACTAAAGGGATTCTGAAGAGAAGCCCCTATAGTGAAAAAATATAACGCTTTCTGAGAGGCTCGATCCTTAGGGAGCTTATCTCTAGAAAGAGCGTTTTTTGTCCTTATAGGGACCACTCTGACGCTCCAAAATAAGGATTATGAAAAACCTCAAAAAGCTGTCCGGAATGAACAAAACCAATTAAAAAGCCTGACTCTCTGGGAAAGTTTTTAGTGGCCAATGTAGGGTTTTGACGTTTTAGTGGTCACTATATTAGTCAAATTAGTGGCCACTTAAGGGGTTAAAAATTAGTAGCCACTATAGAGGTCTAAGTGCTACTACTACCCCAATAAAAACTTTAGTGGTCACTTTAGGGGTCAATGGATCAACATAACTGGTCCAATCTTCTTGTTTTAAAATTATCAGAGTTACTGGAAGGAACATTGGATGATAAACTACTGAAGTGGCCACTAAAACGGAAAATAGTGGCCACTTTAGTGTCCTCTCCAAGTATTCCTTGGCGAGCCTCTATAGTGGCCACTAAAAATATTCCCAGCTCTCCGGAAACGCAATGACAAAACAAAAGGAAGAGCTGAAAACGGATACGTGGAGGTGAGGTGCACAGATGGCGAAAATGTTGGCAACAAGTTGCGTTCATCGGGAGATGGGGAAGGCAGCCGCGCGAGTCCCGACCCGCGCGCGCGTTGTAACTCGTAGTAAACTGCTAAGTGGCCCTTGCTGCCCCACAAAATGATGTTATTGCTCCGGGAGCCGATCCCGAGAGTGTGAGAGCTTGATCCTGATCTCTTTTGATGAATTTCAGGTGGCCCCTGTAGGGGTTTAGTATCTTGCCCTTGAGTCCTTAAACCTCAAGTGGCCCCGAAAGGGGTCTTATCAAAAAATGCTGATTTCTTAAGTTTTCGCCTGGAAATGCTTCCTAACAATAAACGACAGTTTTGCAAGCTTTAGTGGTCCCTTTAGGGTTTTAGAGCCTTACCCCAGAGCCCCTAAAGCTTAAGTGGCCTCTAAAGGGGTCTTTCAATTTTTTTTTATCAAAAAATGCTGATTTCTCAACTTTTTCGCCTGGAAATGCTTCCTAACAATCAACGACAGTTTTGCAAGCTTTAGTGGTCCCTATAGGGGTTTAGTGTCTCGCTCTTGAGTCCCTAAACCTCAAGTGGCCCCTGAAGGGATCTTTCAATTTTTCGTTCAAATTTCAAAATTAAAAAGACAAACTTGATCAGTTTATCCTACGTTAATGAACTAGAATGCCCCCTATAGGGGTCACTTTTGCAAGCTTTAGTGGTCCCTAGAGAGAGAGGTAAAGTGGTCACTAGAGGACACAACCCAGAGCCCCAAAAGCTTAAGTGGCCCCTAAAGGGGTCTTTCAACTTTTTGTTTATCAAAAAATGCTGATTTCTGAAGTTTTTCGCCTAAAAATGCCTCCTAACAATAAATGACAGTATTGCAAGCTTTAGTGGTCCCTATAGGGGTAAAATAGTCTCTAAATTGAAACCTCTAAAGGTCCCTCTAGGGACCACTCTGGAGTACCATTTATTTTCTCATTTTTTGAAAAAAAACGTGTGATCATGTTCCTATTCATGAAAAAAAAATCACCACTCAAATTTTTTTGAGTGGTCCCTACAGGGGTTAGAGGGAAAACGAAGCCCCTATATGGGAATAAAATAATGATCTCTATAGAATAAAAAAATCAAATGGTCACTATAGGGGTTTAGAGTCGGACCTTTAAGCCTTTGAAGCTCAAGTGGTCCCTACAGGGGCATTTTGAAAAACAAAATTCGGTTTGAATAGAACCTAGCTTATAAGTCAGGAAGATAATGAATTTTGACGTTGAATTTTGAAAAAAAACATGCCCAAAAAAAGGACAAAAAAATTGATAGACAAAAAAATTCTCAAAAAAATTTAATTTTTTTAACCATCCGGCAATGCTTCATATTCCACAGAAACGGCCCGATTACTTAATCAAAACAATATTCTTCCTAAAATGAAGTTCCAGTTTCTAGTGAAGAATAACTTGTTAATTGCTGTTGACTAGGTATTTTGTCGTCCTTGTCGTCGTCCTTGTCAGTCCCAAGTCTTCAGAAAAAAAAAACTTGAAACTTAAATTTCCGGCTTCAGAATCATATAAGAATTTTTAAATGAGAGACTTTTTTTTCCAACAAAAAAGAAGAAGAAAATATTGACCTCACTATGAATGCCAGAGTGGTCCCTAGAGGGGTTTATAGAAAAACAGCCCCTTTAGTGGACAAAATAGTGCTCCCTTGAGTGTTTCTCATAGGGATTTTGAGTCGTAAGCCCCTTAAGCTCAAGTGGTCCCTATAGGGGTTTTTTTTTAAATTTTTCGTTCAGATTTCAATGTTAAAAAGACGCTAACATGCTCCTCTAGAATATCTACAAACTAAAAATCCTAGAGTGGCCCCTTTGGCAAGCTTAAGTACTCCCTTTAGGGAGGTAGAGCCCCCCTAGGGACCACTCTGGCGTTTTATCATCTCACTACAAAAATAGCCTTTGATTATCAATGGAGCGCAAAAAACATCGACTTTTTTGGAAGCTCCGATTTCTTATAAAAATCGATTAAAAACCCCTTGGTCGCACTGGGAATGGCTCAAACTGCACAGCGTCAATTCTGAAAGTGCGCCCGACTTGAAACGACTTTTTCGTGTCGCAGTACGCCGAGCCATTCCAAATGCGACCAAGAAGCTTTAAATTTTTGAAAAAGCGGCTCTTGACACTTATAAAAAAGACCATTGAATTCAGAATAATTTTTTTTTTGAATTTAAAGTCTAATCGGCTTGAAAATATTTGGTCGCAGTGGGAATGGTTCAAAGCGCGAAGCGTTTCTGCGCCCGACTTGAAACGACTTTCTTGAGCCATTCCAAATTTCTTGAGCCATTCCAAATGCGACCAAAAAGCTTCACGTTTTTTAAAAAGTGACTCTTGACACACATACAAAAGACCATTAAATCCAGAATAATTTTTTCCAATCGACTTGAAACTCTTTGGTCGCACTGGGAATGGCTCAAACCGCGTTTTTGCGCCCGACTTGAAACGGCTTTTTGAGCCATTCCAAATGCGACCAGAAAGGTTCAAATCGGACCTGTAAATTGAGAATTTTTCGAGCAAGTAACCGTTGACACATACAAAAGACCATTGAATTCAGAATAATATAATTTTTTTTGAATTGTAATTCTAGTCGACTTGAAACTTTGTGGTCGCATTGGGAACGGCTCAAACCGCGCTTTTGCGCCCGACTTGAAACGACTTAAGTCTCAGCTCCTTGAGCCACTCCAAATGCGACCAAAAAAGTTCAAATCGGACCTGTAAGTCATTTGAGAATTCCTCAAACAAGTAACTCTTGACACATACATAAAAGACCATTGAATTCAGAATAGTTTTTGAATTGTAATTCTAGTCGACTTGAAACTTTGTGGTCGCATTGGGAACGGCTCAAACCGCGCTTTTGCGCCCGACTTGAAACGACTTAAGTCTCAGCTCCTTGAGCCACTCCAAATGCGACCAAAAAAGTTCAAATCGGACCTGTAAGTCATTTGAGAATTCCTCAAACAAGTAACTCTTGACACATACATAAAAAGACCATTGAATTCAGAATAATTTTTGAATTTTAATTCTAGTCGACTTGAAAAATATTTGGTCGCAGTGGGAATGGCTCAAACCGCGTTTTTGCGCCCAACTTGAAACGACTTCTTTGAGCCATTCCAAATGCGACCAAAAAGGTTCAAATCGGACCTGTAAATTGAGAATTTTTCAAACAAGTAACTCTTGACACATACATAAAAGACCATAAAATCCAGAAATTATTTCAAAACTTTATTAAAACAAAATAAAAGCGATCAATACAAAGCGAGATCAGAATTCAATTATTGAAAAGCGGGAAAAAAAGTTCGGCAGTAAAAACAACGGAATAATTGAGTCAGCAGTGGAGGGCAGGGAAAAGCTCATAAATAATGGGAAAAGCGGATTTTTTTTCTACAGTTTATCGATTTTCTATATACAAGCAATGGTCATGGGGAGCTAGGCGTCTAATTTTGGGGGAAGAGTCGATTCATTGGCTGGACACGCCCCTTTTTTTCACGTTTTCATGAATCAACTACTACGGACCCGTATGCACCGGTATATCAATTCTGTGAAACTTTCGATTTTTTCGGGATTTTATCCTCTGGCCGGCCTCTTTTTCGCCTCGTCCAGTTGGGCGGAAATTCGATTTTTCTCGTTTACGGCGAGGCTTCTGCGCGCCAACGCAACACGTTCCTTGACGTTGGCTTCGATCGCTTCATCGATTGATTCTCGGAGTTGCGAAGTCGAAGGGACTGGGATCACCTGGAAAAATCAGATTTTATCGATCCAAGTCATTCAAAAATCGAAAAAATCGGCTCAAAATAACTCAGTTTTCGTTAAAATCAGGCTTTTTCTTGCTTGGATGCCCTCGATTTGGAATGAAGACCCGAAAAATGAGAAAACTATTGAATTTTGATGGCATAAAAGCTGGAAATCCAATTTTTTTTTGTACCACTTTTTTTGGCCTGATTACTGGTTCATCACAAAAAGTAATAAAAAAACGTGACTTATTAATTTTTTTAATGCTTTTTTTCAAGAAAAATGACGATATGTTATAATCCCGAAAAGTTCATTTCAAAATATGGAGGTGCACCCGACCAAAAACGACTTCAGCTCAGCTCAAAATAAACCGAACCGCAGCGCGACCGCGACGCTCAGAGCCATTCTAAATGCGGCTCTTGAAGCTTATTTTTTTCATAACTGAAGGTGTAGACTAATAACTTTTGCAAGCTTAAAATCAATAAACTTATCGGATGAAACAGTAAAGTCACGTAAGTACGTTGGAACTGCAAGAACCCATGATATCATTGGCTCTTTTTTACTTTTTCTTTCAAAAAAATGGTGGAAAAATTTTTCGAAGTTCGAAATTTTAAAAAGTATTTTTTTCTTCTAAAAATTGTCATCTCAAAATCTCAGAATCATGAAAAAAGTTCAGTTAAAACTTAAAATCTCATCCATTTTGAAGTTTCAAAAAAAAAACGACATTTTTTTCAAATTTCGCCTCAAATCTATAGTTTCCCCTTTAAACTCAGGTTCATGAAAAAAAAGGTTTAGTCCACACTTACCCCTTGAATAGAGTTCAAGAAAAAACCCAGTCAAAACTTCAAAAAAAAAATTTTTGTCCTTGGAGCGCACTTGAAGTCTAAATTTTTTTTTCAACGGCTATTTTTTCTCCTGAATTTTGCTCCAAACACAACTAATCAATTCATTTTAAATTTTAAAAAAAATTCATTTTTTCTCTTCAATACCATTTTGGTACGAAAAACCTTCTGATTTGAAAAAAAAATTTTGAGGAACTCCCAAAAACCCTGTGTTTGTCTATAGCGCTTCAAATCAACATCTATGCCTTTGATTTCAAAAAAAATTCAGTAAAAACCCCAAAAAATCAGTTTTATCCTTGGAGCGCACTTGAAGTCTGCAGCTTTTTTTTCTACGGCTATTTTTTCTTTCTTAAGAACTGACCTTCCCCTTGACGAAGCACTGGGATTTCCTAGAAATTGAGCATTTTTCGCACGATTTCCGGCAGTTCTCCGACATGAAGTCGGCCGACGCGCCGGCGCACATTTTCTCCTTTTTCCAGGCTTTGCAGTTGACGTGTCGGTCCGAGCAAGCTGGGAAAATCAACCCTTTCGTTTCAGGACGATTTTTAAGATAGTTACCATCCGTGGTATTGTAGTTTGGTGTGCACAAGGAGCAACTGGCGGCGCAGAACTGACTCATGTATTCGGGTTCTTTTCGGCAGGCGCCAGATTCGGCCCAGGCCGTGCAGCAAGGATTCCTGAAATTTATTGGAATCTTCAAAAAAGCAAAGGTTGAGCCAGTTCTCTGTCAAATTGTCAACCCATAGAAGAAAAAAAGCCGATCTTCCGGTCGAAAATAATTAATATCAAGGCTAGAGAGAAGAAAAATGATCTTAGGAACACCAGAGTGGTCCCTAGAGGGGCTAGTAGCAAAAGCAGCCCCTCAAGGGGTACAAAAAGTGATATTTATAGTTCAAATGCTCTTCATAGGAGGTTTTAGTTCTTAGCCCTTTTTTGAGTGCTCCCTATAAGGGTCTTTAATTTTTTTTTATCAAAAAAGCGAAAAAAAAGCAAAGTGGTCCCTATAGGGGGACCTTAGGGCCCTTAAAGGTTCTCCTTTAGCGACCACTCTACATTTTCCTAAAGGGTCCGCTAAAGCTTCCAAAAGTGGTCCCTATAGGGGAGTAGCCGTTTTTCCCCCTTTAGGGAGCACTTTTTACCCCCATAGAGGCTCTTTAAGTTTTTCAGCCCCTTCAGGGACCCCTCAGAAAATCGGAAAATTTGAATTTCGAAAAGAAAAATTCAAAATGACTCAAAGATAAAGCGTTCAGAACTGTTTTTCAGAAAAAAAAGTGCGCCCGACCAGAAACATGTTCCGCCGCCAACCATTCCAAATGCAATCTTCCAAATTTCTAATATATATTTTTTTTCAACGATTTCTCCACTTGTTACAGCCCGAAAAGGGTGATTTTTTTGCTTAAAATTTCATTTTGGCGCCAAAAAGCCATTCCAAATGTAGCTCTACCAAAAATTTGGATCTTTTTTTTCAAATTTTTTTCTCAAGAAAAAAATCCATTTTTAATCAAATTTATCGAATGAAATAAGCATCCGGTGTATGCACACTTCCGACCTACAGTATATTCTTAAGACTTTTATTGTAGATTTTTCAACTTCTACCTGTTATAGCAGTCGACGAAGAGCGGCGCGACCATTTTCACCGAGATTCTCTTGACCAGCGGCGTCGTCGTCGGCTTGACGGTCGTCGTCGTCGCCAGATATTTCTCCAATTCGATGGCCGTTCCGTTGTTCAACGTCTTCGAGGCACGCATTCTGGCGGCAGCGAAATTCTGAAATTTTGAGCGTCAGGTCCATTAAACTGCTCATTAAAATGGTCCCTAGCGTCTCTCAAAAGCGAAGCCAGAGAGATAAAGAAACAGTATGTCGAAATGAGAAGGTCACCGAAAACAGAGTACTGGGAAAAACTTCAGTGGCCCCTTAAGAGGTTCTTCAAAGACTACTTGGAGGGGACACTAAAGTGGCCATTTTGTAGAAGCCACCGTTTTGTGACTCAGTGACAACTAGAGTAGTTTTTAGAAGTCTAGTAGTACTACTTATACTTCTAAAGAGACCACAAAATTTTAGCCCCTTTATTGGTCACTAATTCGACTAACATGGTGGCCAATAAAACGTCAAAACCCTAAAGTGATCACTAAAACTTTTCCAGTGTATCACCTTTCTTAAGGTTCTTCTTTGTAGAGCTGCCGATATGGCGCCCCGGGGCGACCCTCAATTTTTAGCAGGTGCCCCGGGTCGGCCCGGCCCGTAAAGTTGAAAAAAGGTAGAAATGAAGAAAATGGGTGTAAAATGGCTCTTTTGAAAATGTGCCCACTTTGGGGGGTCGGGTCGCCCCGGGACATGATATTTTTTTTCAAATCCTGAAAAAATTTTTAGTGGCCACTATAGTAGTCAAATTAGTGGACACTTAAGGGATTAACAATAAGTGGCCATTATAGAGGTCGTAGTGCTACTACTAGACCACTAAAAATTTTAGTGGCCACTTTAGGGGTCAACGGATCAACATAACTGGTCCAATCTGTTTGTTTTAGAACTATCAGAGTTACTGGAAGGAATACTGGATGAAAAACTACTAAAGTGACCACTTAATAGAGACCCTCTATATAGTGGCCACTAAAACGGAAAGTATTGGCCACTATAGAGGTGGATTTAATGGCCACTTTAGTGTCCTCTCCATGTAGTCCTTGACGAGCCTCTATAGTGGTTCCTAAAAATTTTCCCAGTCCTTCAATGAATTTCTCGTTTTCAGAATTCAATTCCAAAACCAACCGCAGCGACGCATCGGCCCCACCAGCACCGTCCGGCGTAGCACGCATCGTACTGTTCGAATCCTCGACAAAGGCCATTCATTCGGATCTTCGACACGCAGTGGGGGTACCTATAAGATTTTAAATTTAACTTTCAGCAAATCTCCTGGGAGCAAGATCATTTTTTATTTACGATAGGGCAGAAAAACTGTTTAAACCGAACCCTCTAGTGTCGCAGAAGAGATAGGGAGATCCGCAATTTGGATTCTGGGCACTGCACGTGGCGCGTGGAGCGTACCGGTACATCTGATCGGTGTACGAATTGGAAAGTCCTGAAAATCGGGAAAATTGACTTTTCATCTCAGAAGAATCACACTGTAGAAAAAATTTTCGCTCTCAACTTGCTCGTATGGAGCTGAATCTTTTGGAAACGCTCTAAACCTGTGTTTTTTTTTCTGTGAACCAAAATCCCACCAGAGTGTTCTTCATACAAAAAATTTTCCATTAAAAAAAAGATTTTTTCGTATTTTTTTTTCTGACAGGACCATAGAATAAGTGAACCCTTGATACTAATCAAATTCGAAAAAAAATAGCAATAAATTTAAATTGGAGTCGATGGATTGACAATTGAATGAAAAACCCGAATTTTCAACTAAAGCGCTCATTGAAACATGAAAGTCATGAGTTTTCAACGAAAAATCTTTTTTGAAGCTCACGTCATTCTTCGGCTATGTCCGACTTATCGATACCTTTTAGAACTTCTAGAAGTTCCAAAAGACGTCTTTCTTCACACTTTTCAGAGTTTTAGCAATGCAAAAAGATGCAAAAATAAGAGGGTCGCAACCGAGTTTCGAGAAACTATCAGAAAGTCTTCCTTAGGAACTATCAGATCTTTCAGAACTTTCAGAGCTATCCGAACTGTCGAGACGTCCTTCCTCGGAAACTTTCAAAACTATCAGAACTATCAGAACTTTCAAAATTTTCAGAAGTTTCGGAACTGCTACACTATCAAGACTTTCAAAACTATCAGAACTTTTGGGAGTTCCAGAACTATCACTTATTTAAAATCTTTCAGAACCAACAAAAGTCTTCAAAAATGTTTTCCTCAGAAAATTTCAGAGCTATCAAACATACGGAATTTTTAGAAGTTGTAAAAAACGCGCAACTTTAAAATTTTCAGATCTTTCAAGGCTATCAGATCTATAAGAACTATCAGAGTTTCGAGAACTATCCGAACTATCAAAACGTCTTACTTAGGAAATTTCAGAACTAGCAGAACTAGCAGAACTGTCAGAACTTTCAAAATTTTCAGAAGTTTCGGAACTGCCAACACTATCAGGACTGTCAGAACTATCCGAACTATCCGAACTTTCAAGACGTCTTTCTTCAAAAACTTTCTAAATTTTCCGTTTCGGAACTACCAACACTATCAGAACTTTCAGAACCATCAAAACTATCCGAACTTTCAAGACGTCCTTCTTCAGAAACTTTTAAACTACCAGGACTATCGAGACGTTTCCTTAGGAGGTTTCAAGACTATCAGAATTATCGAAACTTTCGGAACCATCAGAACTATCCGACCATTCAAGACGTCTTTCTCAAAAAATTTCAGAACTATCGAAACTTCCAAGACGTCTTTCCCTTCGTTCTCAATACTCTCCCAAAATTCACCATCGCGGTTCTGGAGGTAGGGGAAAGGTCGCATGGGGGCGTAGCTGAAGTGCTGCCAGTTGGTGCAGACGGGGTGGTCGGCCGAGTAGGACTGCTCCCGGAGCCACCTCGGCTGTCGGAGCTGGCGCCAGAGCTCCCAGAGGTAGTCGACGAACGAGTGGTGCATGAAGAAAATCGGCTGCAAAACTTGTATCGTTCTTTGGGTTCAAATTAAGCAAATTCCCATTCTGACGCCAAATGTTCAGCTTCTGGAGGTGATAACATGCTTCAAAATTGGATTTCAAGTGAACAAAGCCGAGATTTAGAATCAGCGTGAAAATATGATCAAGATGAATGCTTAAAATTGATATCAGGGTTCGAATAAAGCTCAAAAAAGGCCCTTCAAAGTGTAATCCTTCCACAGAAAGCTTAATCGTTCCCCAGAGATTCACTTTTCGCTTCGAGACCATTATCAAATTCGTCTATGCTCCTTTCAAGAGTCTTTAAGAGACTCGAGAACAGAGAAAGCACAGAAAACACAACTGCGCCTTTTAGTGGCCACTATAGGGTTTTGACGTTTTAGTGGTCACTATAGTAGTCGAGGTCTAAGTGCTACTACTAGACCACTAAAATTTTTAGTGGCCACTTTAGGGGTCAATGGATCAACATAACTGGTCCAATCTGTTTGTTTTAAAACTCTCAGAGTTACTAGAAGGAAAAACTACTGAAGGGGCCACTAAATAGAGAACCTCTATAGTGGCCACTAGAACGGAAAATAGTGGCCACTATAGAGGTGGGTTTAGTGGCCACTTTAGTCTCCTCTCCAAGTAGTCCTTGGCGAGCCACCAGTTCCTTTCAAATTAAAGTGATCTCTTTAGGGTCCGCATTATCATTCACACTACATTCTAGAGTCCATTTTGAGATTTCTTACAAACTTGCCAAGATAACCAGCTTTTTAGATCAAAGTGACCACTTTAGGGTTCGCACCCCACGTTCCGATCCCAGAGAGTTTTTCAGAGAATTCAAACTGAAGGGGGGTTTTTTTTTGATTATGGTACTTGTAGTTCCGTTTGAAGAATGGTAACATCGGAATTCGATTTTTACGAATGCAATTTGAGCTCATTTTACGCCCCAAAATTCGCAATGAGTGACTAATCTGATCTTAATTTTTTCTATAAGCTTTAACTCCGCCCGAATTGACTATTTTCAGACTCAAACCTATTGGGAGAAGCTCAAGAACTCGACAAATCCACAAAAATACTAGATTTTGAATTTAGAATGCTTGATAAACTGGTAAAATCTTGTTGAAAAAGGTCCAACCTCGTTGGCTGAAGTGCTCGGCGGCTTCATGTCTCCACCCATCCAGAGGTGGATATTCGAGTGAGTGTATTCGATGGCGCCGTAGTTGTTCGGGTAGGGGCATCCTGAATCGAGGGTCATTGAAAAAATATGTCTTTCGAAGTTCCTTGATACCAGAGAGCTTTAAGAACTTCAACACAAAAATTAAAACCCTTAAAGGACCACTACTCCTGAATAAAGGCCAGTACAACCCCAATGTTAAAAGTTACTCTTATTTAATCAAAATCACTTCCCTAAAGTTGAAACTTAGTTTTATTCCTTATTATCGAGTTTTTTTGTAAACCATTCTCCTGGACTAATCAGTTCTTCACTTACACATCTATTAAAAAAATCCAAAAAACAAGGTTTTTTCTTTTTCTTGCGCCTTTTAAAGGAAAAAAAAAACCTTTATCGGCCCTCAATTTACAGTAAATCAGTTCCCGAGATTAATTTAACACCTTATCAGAAGCTTCAAGACCTCTCTTCAATATTATCTATGCGCCTTTAAACAGAGCTCTTTTATTTTTAAAATCGAGCCTCAAAGCTCAAAATTTCATGAGGAAGTCATAAATCATCGAATTTTTTCAGTTTGAGTCTATCTTTGAACTTGAAATCTCTCTCACACGGAAAGTCATTCTACTCGTCGATTTGGAATTTTCTAAAAATTCGCTGAAACACTCTCTGAATGTCCAGATGATGATCTCTTATAGTAGCTACCTGCGCAAACTTCTAGTTTTAGAGATATTAATTTTTGGAGTTTGCGTAACACAGAGTATGACCCCACAAGGAGGTCATTTTACTTGGAATTTTCTACGGATATTCTCAAATAATCTCTGATGGTTTATATTAAGATCCGTCAGAGTTGCGACTCGAGCTACTCTTTAGTTTTCAAGATAATTAATTTTGTAGATCGAAAAATTAAGCCTGCAACTTTGAAAAATCGTATCTCAAAAACTAAAAATTTTCACAGGAAGCGATAAGGAGGGATCTTTATCTAGACCTTCAGAGAGTGTTTGAGAAAATTTGTAAAAAATTCCAAACCGCCTAGTAAAAAGACCTCCCTTGTCAAATTTGCCCTTTTCCTCCTTCAAACCCCAAAAAGACCCCGCGCCAAAAAAGAAAGAATTCAAAAAACTTTCACTACCCAGCAGGTGGTGGTTTACCGTTCTGAACCAACAGAAAGGCGAAAAAAAAAGAAGCGCAAAATGCAATTTGCTGGTCGATTGGTTTGAGGTTAAAGGGCGAAGCCATGACAATGGAAAGTTCGTTTTTCTATTTCGCCCTGTATATGTTTATAACGCGGGAGACCAAGGCCTTTGTCGGTCGCCAGCTTGTGGCCCGACCGCAACCGGTTTCACGCCAAAATGGACCCTCTCGACCTCTCCCAAAATTAGAAGCTAGAAGGTTTTTTGGAGTGCTCTCTTCTCACGTGGAGAAATTTTTTTCAAGAGGTTTGGACTTTTTTTCAAATACTTCCGAGTTTTTGACCTTCGGAAAGTTTGGTAAAGTTCAAAGGAAAGAAAAAAATACCTAAAAAAGCAAGAAAACTGCGAAAAATTCAAATTTTAATTAGATTTTGAAGCTATTTTTGCACATTTTTTAAATTTTATGAAAAATTTTTTTCCTGAAGCTTATTTTTTTTACTTTTATACAAAAATCATTAGATTCAATCAATTCCTAACCGAAAAAAATTATATTTGCCTTTTTTTATTTATTTTATCAGCTTTTTTTTCTTGATTCATTACTTTAAGGTCCAAAATTACTTATAAAAAAACCCAGAAAATCTCAATTTTCCGGTCAAAAAAATTAGACAAAAAAATGTAAAAATGAAAAAAAATTTTGCATTTTTTTAACTTTATCACTTAATTTTTTTCCATTTATATGCTCATTTAGGTCCAAAATTACTCATAAAAAAACCAGAAAAAAACTCAATTTTTTTCAGGCAATCAACCGAAAAATGTATGAAAATGATAAAATTTTTGCTTCTTCTGACTTTATCTCTTTCTTTTTTTCCACTGAAAGCCATCTTAATTACAGAATTTCTCAAAAAAATCATTTTTTTCCGTGTAAAAAAATCATGGCAAAAAAAGGTTTATTTTTTTGGCCTGAAATCGCTCATGAAAAAAACTAGTAAACCTTACCGTTTCAGGTAAAAATTCAAGTAAAAAAATATGAAAAATAATATAATTTTTGCTATTTGATTAATTCCATAAATCTAGAATGTTTGAGAAAAAAATATTTCTTCTTTGAACCTTTTTTTAAAAACCAAATTCATCTGATTTTTTTATTCATTTTTTTAAGCTTTTAAGGCTCAAAATGACCTATCAAAAACTGAAAAAAATTTGCATTATTTTTTTATTTTATGTGTTTTTTTCACTTGTAAGCTTTTTTTAGGCCTAGAAAATTAACCTTTTTTTAACTGCTACAGTTTTTTTGAATTTATAAACTTTTCTAAGCCTAAAAACAACCCTTATAATACTATAAAACCTTACTGTTTCAGGTAAAATTCAAGAAAAAATGTGAAAATGATATAATTTTTTGCTATTTTTGATTGTATCTATACAATAAACCTAGAATTTTCATGAAAAAAAGCTTTCTTCTTCAACTTTTTTTCAGTACAAAAAACAAATTTATTTGGTTTTTATTCACTTTTAAGCTCATTTTGACCCAAAGCCACCCTTTAAAACGGAAAAATTTGCATTATTTTTTTATTTTATGTGTTTTTCACTTGTTAGCTTTTTTTAGGCCTAGAAAATTTGGCTTTTTTAACTGCTACAGTTTTTTTTTTCATTTATGAGCTTATCTAAGTCTAAAATACCCTTACAATATTACAAAACCTTACTGTTTCATGTAAAAATCAAAAAGATACCTGGCTGCGGGGCGGTGAACGCCAAAGTGTTCTCTATAGTGTTCTGGTTGACGATATTGTTGACCTGGTTCTCATTGAATAATTGTCCCTCGAAACCGAGTTGTCTGAAGATTTCTCCCTTTCTTATAAATAAAGTCGCTGAAACCTCAAAATGGTGGATCTTCCCTCGAGAGTCTGCCAATAGGCGAAGGGTCCCGTCACGACGTTACCATAGGGGTCCGTGGTACCAACGAACAAATCGGTGAACATGATGGAGTCGCGGGGGTCGGGCAGATAGGAATCCATGACCGAGTCCCAATATGGGATCGCGACGGTTGGGTCGACCATTCGGAGGGCGATTTCGAACCTGCAAATGGTTATATAGTCCATTGTTGCGGACTGACACGTTGCGTACGCGACGCGGCTTTTGACTGGAACCAGATGCAAAAAAAAACGGCATGCTGCAAAAGTCGGTCAGTCAGTTTGAAAAACTACACCACATCGCTCCATAGAAAACTGAGAATTTCAATCTTTTTTTTTCTTTTCTGAACTTTTCTTCCTTTTTAAAAATTTAATAAGAAGGTTTTTGCTTAATTTCATACAACTTTATCGTTTTTGCGAGTAAAATACGATGGTTACTACATTCAAAATTATAAACTGATTCAATTTTTTTGAAAAATTATCATTAATTATAAAAAAATTCGGAAAATGAGATAATGTGTGAAATACACACAAAAAAGGCAAGAAAAAAAAATTTCCCTTAAAAAAGGTAAAAAATAATCTGGGGAAACAATGTTAAATAAGGAACAGTTTAGTTTGAAGTGAGGAGCATGTGTCCCATATCCTAGAAAACTGATAAAAATGTGGGAAAAATTTAGAAAAAGGGAAAAAGTCTGAAATTCGATTTTCCATAGAGCAAAAATACGGCGTGGCCTAGTTTCCCAAATAGAACGACCGACTTTTCCAGCATGCCAAAAAAAAACCCAATTTTTCATTATTTATACACTCTCATCCGTTCAACAAAACTTTTTCTCTCATAACAAAATTGAAAGTTATTGAAACACTGTCAAAAAAAAAGATGGCCCGCATTTAAACATTTATTTCCCGCCGAAAGCCGCGTCGCGTACGCAACGCGCCCCTCTTTCCAATCTACCCATCTTGCCTTTCAATTCGGGCAGGATTGACTATAAATTCGACTCTTCATTCTTAAGTTGGCCTTGAAAGATTGGAACTCGTCAAAAATTCATAACTTTTCAAAAAATCGAGAATTCACAATTTTTGAGGTTTTTTTCTGGAGCTTTCCGGTACCAATCCTGTTGATACTGTGGATTGGAAGGAGGTTCTTTTAAAATATTGCCCATTTAGCGGAAACTTTCACTGATTTTAAAAACCGCATGATTTTCAATATTTCAGCCTCAATAACAAATGAAACTGGATTCAAACTCAAAATTTAAAAAAAAAATGTCTATAAGTAACTTTTAAAAAATGTTCGAGAACTTATAAGGCTCTTCCTATTAATTTTCGATTGGTCAGTGACAAATAAAGAAATCAAAAATTTCAGCTATATATATTCAAAAAAAAAACATTGAAAACTGACAGTTTTCCTCCAAAAAATCACAAAAATCCAGTATAAAAGCCAACCTTTTCAGGTACTCCCTGTGCCATGGCAGGAATCCAGGACCGGAATGGGCTCCAGATCCAACTCCGACGGAAAGATGTTCCCTACTGATCCGGTCGTACTCTCCATTCCTTTTCAGGGTGTTCAGAGCGTTGTGCCAGCTGAAAATTCGAATATTCGATAAAATATTCTGTTCAAAGCAAAAAAAAATAAAAGAAAAAAGGGCTGTTCAGAGTTCGAATCTCAAGCTCCGCCCCTAATATCACTATAAACCAATCAGAGAGCGAGTCAGTCACAGAGCCTTTCCGAATGACGTCATTAAACTTGACATTCAAAATCTGAACAGACTAGACAATATTTCCCGCAATCTAATCAAAAATCCTTGCTTGGATTTTTAAAGGAGCATGGACCACATTTAAAAAAGATCTCGAGGCGAGTTTTCAGGTTCTTACGGCTTTTGTTCGTCTAAAAACTTCAGTAAGAATTTTCAAAAACATATACATTAAAATAAAATAAAATTACAGTTCCCCAAAATTATTTGAAATTTTTTCTCATTCCTGCTTTAATTGTACTTTTTATACACAACTGAGATGAAAATTCTAGAATTTTCCGAAGAAACTTTCGAAAAAAAAAAAAACTACTTTTTATTTCAAAAAAATTCTTAGAGAGCTACGGAAAAAATCAAAAAATAATGGAAAACGGTTGTATTTTGAAAATATTACGAGTTAACTTAAAAAATTCTAATTTTTTCTTACAACACCTTAAATCATTGAACTGAACAGTTTACCTACGAATAAAAAAAAAAGAACTGAGAAAAAAGGAAAAAAATGCCCAAAAAAAAGCGTAAATCTACATCGAATAGAGCAAAAATGCGCCGTAAAATGGAGCGTCGTTTGGAAAAAATAATTTTGGCGCCAATTATTTTTTTTCTGATAAATTATTTAAAAAAATCCAATATTTCCAGGATAATTAGAATAATCTGATGTTGAAATAACGGAAACTTGAAATAATTTCTATAATTTCACTCGTATCCATATAAAAAGCGGAAAAAATAAGGAAAATCTCAGTATTTCAATATTACGAAATTATTTGATTTTTTTGCCTATAATCTACTCCCAACCTGGAAATGAATATTTTCTATAATAATTTGAAACATTTATAATGATTCTAGCAAAATTCTTTCACACATAATGCTCCAAAAAAGGCATTTATTCCAAATTAAAGGTAATTTTAGGGATTTTTAAAATCTCTTGTTTTAAAAAATCTTTTTTTTATTTGTTTCTTAAGATTTGTTTTCCTTAGGAACTCCAGAGTGGCCCCTATAGGGGTCCTTGAAGGGTTCCCTCTAGGGACCACTTTACCAACCTCTATAGGGGTCACTAGAGCTTGAAAAAGTGGTCATTATAGGGGACATGCTGGTCGATAACTTTTATGAACTCTAAGCGAAGACTTTTGAATGAAATTGAGAGACCCCTATAAGGTCCACTTGAGCTTTAGGGGCTAAGGGGTGAGGCCCTAACACCCTCTAGGGACCACCTTAATTTTACCCCTATATGAGCTGTTAAATTTTATGCCTCTATAGGTTGATTTCTACCCTAATCCCTACAGGGACCACTTTAATTTTAGCCCTACATATAGAGGCCGTCATCACCCCTATAGGGACCACTCTGGAATCCCTAAGGTTGTATAATTATTTTTCCTGCGCCCTTTGCAACACATGTGCTGACCCTTTTGAAAACCACACCCTCAAGAACCAAACGAGAAACAGTAGAATAGGGAAAGGAACCGTTGTCTCTCGTTCTCGGTCATCATTCGGTACTCCTTCCGCCACGACATTCGCAACACGACGCCGTTGGCGAGAACACATTGGCCGTTGATGTTTCGGCCCTGCAACGAGAAGGTGAATGGCTTTTTCTGCAACGGGTCGGGAAAAAACATTGAAGAATGGGCAGAGGCAGAGGAGGGTCATGCAGTCGTAGGGATGGTAGGCGGCTTGCCCGCGGGCGTTCGGCGCCACCGGGATCGGCTGCAGCCAGTTGGGCACGCCTGGAAAAAGTCCCAAGTTGTGGAAAGAAGCACAAGAATAAAAAAAGGTCCAAAAAAAAAAAAACGAAAAGTTCCTTACACGGGTTTGCACAAGGTGGTGAATTGAGTACTTGATGAAACTTGGTATATAGGTACTTTAGGACACCCTGATCCAAATAAAGTTGAAAAAAAGTGTGCCCTTTTGGTTCTAGTCGAGTTATGGCATCTCGAAGTTTGCACGCGAGAATGCATTGAATGAAAGGAGGGAATATCTCGCGGCGGCTAACTTCAGCTGTCAGCAGGCGGCGTGGCGCAGTGGCTAGCGGCTTGCGCTGTGAAACCCATGATGCAGGTTCAGTCCTTTTTGGTGTAACTTATTTTTGCCATGTAGTTTTTCGAAAAAATAGATGAATTTTGGAAGATGGAACGAAAAATACGGTTCAAAGTGTTGAAATTCACAGTTTTTGTTGTTTTGAGTAGGACTTTCGACAAAACTTTTTTCATTGTCTTTTTTTGTCAACATGATATCCTAATGTACCTATATACCGAGTTTCATCAAACTCTCAACCTACCTTTTGCATTCCCCGTGTTAGAGGACCCAAAGAAGGGGCTGAAAAAGTTCTAAAAGTTCAAAAAAAGATGGGAAAAGTCTATTGAGCTTCTGAGAGAAATCTTCTTCAACTTTACCGGAATCGTATTTTTAAAATTTTTATCAAAGGTGACCCTAAGAAGCCCTTTTTTTTTTGATAGAACCTTCTAGAAAAGCCCGAGTTTTGAGCTCAAACGAACCTCCAGGCTGTGGATTTCCAGCGTTGGTCCTTCTCAAAGCTTGTCTAGCCAGACGACGCCGTGTGGCCAGGTCCATGTGACGGATCTGAAATAAAGTATAACGTTCAAAAACACCTTGAAAAATTCGAGGAAGAAGTCATTTAAGATCCCCTAGCAGCCCTAGAGCGAACCCTTGGATCTGAGTGCATCAAATATCGTTCTCCTCCACCTTTTTTAGATTATTTTTGAAAGTTTAGCGGTTTTCAAAGGCGCACGAGCCTTCCTGACCCGAGTTAGGACCAAAAACGGCTCTTTGCCTCGAGACCTTTTGAAAAGATGCCCATGAAAACCGAATTTTTCTCGATTTTTTCGAGCCTATTATTATATTCCCGACTCTCTAAATCTATTCTGAAGTCCTGGTTGAAGTTTTTAAAGGAGCATGGGCCTTTTATGACTAATGATAACCCTGAAAACGGTTTTACGCTTCGAGACCTTCAAGAGATATGCTCCTTTAAAGGCGCATAAGCATTTTAAGGCCCAAAAATAAGAATGAAGCCCCTGTAAACCTTTAGGAGATCCCTCTATGCTCCTTTAAAGGCGCATAAGCATTTTCTGGCTTTGAGAAAATCTGAAAACGCTCTTCGCCCAAAGACCATTAAAAAATTAGCCTATGCACCTTTAAGTACACAAGGAAGACGTTTTTAGCCATTTTTTAACTTTATAATCTGAATAACCTTTTCCAAGAGTATTCAAAGACTTTCCTGAGCTTAAAAAACACTTAACCAGGCTCTTCGCTTCGAGACCATTAAGAAGTCCGCCTATGCTCCTTTAATAACAAAAAAAACTTTTTAGTCGTTGATTGACATCGGTGTTTCAATAAACTGCTTCCAAGAGTATTCAAAGACTTACATGGCCCTAAAAACCCTTTAAAAGGCTCTTCGCTGCGAGACCTTTAAGAAGTCCCCTATGCTCCTTTAATAAACCAAGAAAAGACTTTTTAGCCATCTCTTGACATTGGAATTTTGAATAAACTCTTCCAAAATAGTTGAGAGCCTTTCTTGACCCGAAATAACCCTTGAAACGGTTCTTCGCTACGAGACCTTTAGGAAGTCCCCTATGCTCCTTTAATAACAAAAAAAACTTTTTAGTCATTGATTGACTTCGGTGTTTGGATGAACTGCTGCCAAGAGTGTTTAAAGACTTACATAACCCTAAAAAACTCTTAAACAGGCTCTTCGCTACGAGACCTTTAAGAATTCCGACTATGCTCCTTTAATAAACGAAGCAAGTATTTCTTCTGAAAGCCTCACCATCAGACAAGTATGACGGAGATCCTTGTTGGGGGCGTCGGAACAGTCCCTCGGCGGCTCCCGGAATCGCTTCATCTTCATTCTCTTCAGATTCCGGGGCATTCCGGCCGTCGAGGAGATTTTCGTCGCTGCTCGGGCCATTTTTTGCTTGGGCCTTTTCCCGGCCGCTTGGACCACCGCCGCCGGCAAAAGCGCCAGTAGGACCAGCCACGTTAAACGCATTTTGAAAGAGGTGACAACTGAAAAATAAATAACAATAAAATTATGATAGATAAAAAGTAAAAAGTACGAAAAGGATTATGGTTGATACAGAGATTGAAAAAAAGAGTTAGTGAAACAGTGAGGTGATTTTTAGAAAAAAATTTTCCTAGGAATCAAATCAAATTCCAGGTATTTTCATAAGAAATACGTGAAAATAAATGAAACCCTTTCGAATTTGCGCGAATTTAAAAACATAAAAATCAAATAAAAAAATAAATGAATATTTTCAAGCAGAAAAATTTTTTTATTCACTTAAAAAAATTGTGAATAATGATTGAAAAAAATCTTATTTTTTTCTACGATTTTCTTCAAAAATATCTATAACATGAGCAACAGTTCTTATAAGATGAGCAACATTGTAATCCTCAATCTGAGAATATTCAAAGGATTTCAATACAAACTTTCAATGAAATAATAATAACTTAAAAATTAATAAAAAAACTTTCTCGGAAACCGTAAAGTCGTCCAACTTTGAAACTATGCTGGGACACGCCTCCAAGGCGACTTTTTGAATGCGAGAAGCCAATAAAAAAATGTTCAATTTAGATTTTTTTTGAAAAAAATACAAGTTTTGGTTAATCACCGCACCTTCTGAATTAGAACCGGAATGGAAAAATCGGAAAAAAAATTTTTTTGGAAATTTTTCTAGAACACACCTTCAAGGTAATTAGGAAAAGACTTTTTTTGGACTTTCCAAAAAAAAATTGGAAGACAAGGAATAGAACAAGTATGCAATGGGACACGCCTTGGAAATAATTAGAACCTTCAAAAAAAAAAGAGAATTTTTTGAACAAGAAGTCAAAAAAAAAGTGATCGCACTTTCGAGAAAAAAAAAATCCGTCGTTTTATATAGTCAAATTGAACAGAAAAGCGTTTCAAACAGCCTGGGAAAAGGTCGTAGAAGTGTTTCTTCGACTGATAACCCCCGGGGGGTGATAACCCGGCGACCAAACAAAAACAATTGTGGGCGTGGCTTGTTCATAGGCTCCGCCCACTTTTCTCTTTCTTCGTTGTTTTTTGTTTTTCGCCTATTCTTCTCCGACCGTTCGAATCAAAATCAAGAAAAAATCGTACAAAAAAAGGATTTTTTTTACGCAAGGGCATTTCCGATGATGGCAAATGAGTCAGTTCTGATGGAATTTCTCCTTTTCTTTCATTTTTGAACAAAAAATATTGTTCAACGTGGTTTTGAAAAGGTTCAAGGTGTGTGAAAAACAGTTCAGGAGCTGATTATATTTCTTCAAATTAGGAGAAAAATGATGAAAAAAAGTTGATTATTTTGAAATTTTCATCAGCTTTTTGATTTGAAACTTGAACAGAGATATAAAAAAATTTTTGGTTTTTTTCAAGTCAGAAATTTTTTTGACAGCACTGAAGGACCTAAAAAAATCAGAAGATACTTGATTTATTGTTCTTTTTTTCAGAAACTCCAATCAAAAAAATCGGAAAAATCTTCAAAAATTTAAGATTATCTCAATGTCTAGAAAAAGGCGTCACAACATGTTGCAGAAGACAAAACTTCGGACCCTTTTTTTCTCAAAAATTATGTAGTTTTGCAGGTTGAAACTTCGAAAAAGATCCCGTTATACCTAAAAAGAGACTTCTGACAAAACTTAAAACTATTCTCAAAAAAATGAAAAATTAACTTATTTTCTCTAAAAACTTTATCGAAATTCTTGTAATGGAGACTTTAATGTTGATCTACAGTTGGAAAAAGACCAACATGAAACTAAAAAAACAGCTCAAAAAGAAAGATTAACTCAAAGTCAAAAGAATTTTACAAGAAAAATCTGAATGTTATTTCATCTGAAAAAAATCACAACTTCAAACTTTAGAGATTTCAAAAAAACCAGAAAAAAAGATAAAAAAATTGCAGAGTAACTTATTTTTCACTTCAGATAACCCGAAAAAGAACTTCGAATCTTTTCAAATACATAAAAAAAAGATTGGAAATGTGAAAAACTGTTTTTTAAAGAGGATACCTATAACGAAAAACGTTTGGAACTTATTTTCAGCTAAAAAAAAATCTGAACTATTTCAAAACCCCAATTTTTATGAAAAGAAACTTTTGGATAGTCAAAAAAAAGAAATTTAGAAGACACAATGGCATGGAAGCAAATCGCTAATAAAATTCAAAGCTTCAAAGTTTCAGAACCATCATCTGGTCTTCTCAAAAAGTGTTCTATCGAATTTTCAGAAAATCACCAAATATAAGGGTTTCCTTGTAGGTTTTTAGGGAATTCTCAACCTCAGAGTAAAAATGGAGCTTCCATGTAGGGAAAATTCAAAAATTACTTTTTATGCGAATTTTCGGATAAAAATGCTGAAAAAGAAGGTTATATATAGAATTTTCTAAAAAGGCCAGGATTTTCTTTGATGGACCAGATGGAGTTTTTGAAATCTCACTCTACATAACTTTACAGTTTCCGAGAAATCAGGGGTCAAAAAGGCTCATTTTTACAGATTTTGATGGTCTGAGGGGCCCTTTTTCAAAAACTGATTATTTTTGCAAGTTGAGAATATCAAGACCTTTTCTGGTACGTCAAGGAATCAGGCCAAATTTTTAGGGAATTCTCAACCGAAAAAATGGAGCTTCCATGTAGGGAAAAGCTCAGGGATTTTCAGAAAATCCCCAACCTCGAACCAAAAAAACACTTTCCTCATGAGAAGAAGTTTCAAAAAACTCTACAACTTTATGAAAAAGGTTTTCAAAAAAGCCAGAACAGACACAATGGCACGGGGGCCACTGAACCGATGAACTTTCGGCCGCGGCGACCTTCGGCGCCAGTGACAAGCCCCGCCCCCCGCCTCACCAAAAAAACTCAGACAAAGGCCGACCCCACTATGAAATCACCTTCGCCCCCCGTGACAATAATGTCACCTTGCGTTTGTCCAGTCAGAAGCCTTGAGACTCGACTTCATTGTCGCTTTCTTCTGAGGTCGTGAAATGGAAAGTTTATTTGGAAAATAAAATATGAAACTTCTATTTTTGAATGCCATGGAGCCTATTGAAAAAAGCTGAGAACAGTTCAAAAAAAATCAAATAAAAAAAGTTAGATTGAAGCTCGGGTCAAGGCTCTAAACAGCTCTGGTCGCGTTTGGAATGGCTCATGCAGCTCTGCTATCTGACCCTAGCGTCGAAAACCGCTTTTGGTCGGTTGCAACTTCCTAGAAACCGCTTCGTAGCAGAGCCATTCCCAATGCGACCATAGAAACTTTTTTTCTAAACGAATTTCAGGCACAGAATTTCGCCCAAGTTTAACGAGATTTTAGACATTTTTTTTTGGTTTATTATATTTTTGAAACGGTAAACACAGCTTCGATGATTGCGACCGGGCGCAAGTCGTTTCAGGTCGGTTGCGCCTCGAATCTCGATTACTATCAAACTGAGTCAAAAATAAAATAATTTTCTATCGTTCTGAATTATTTTTCAAAGTAAATCTTTCAAAAATAAAAAATTACTTCAAATAAATCCCATGTCCAAGAACCCTAAAGAGGTCACTTAGATCTTAAAACAAAATTCAAAAAAAAGCAACGACCTTTACGGTGGCCGCATCAAACGAACAACAACAAGAGGAATCAAAAAGAAAAAAAAATGACACAACAAAAAGATTCCAATCTTTTCGCCAAGGCTGACCCCCGTCGTTGCCTAAGTTCGAAAAGGCTTATCTCCAAAGCAAAAAGTGTCATTTTGGTCCCAAAATTGGTCACTTTTTAAAGATTTTGTGACGAAAAAAAACGAAAAATAGTTCTTGGTGATTTTTAAAAAAATTCTCGAAGTTAGAAAAATTTTTCCAATTGAAAAAATGAGTGCAAAAGATGACTTTTCTTTCAGAAAGCATGGACTTTTTCGAATTCTTATAAAAAAGTGGTCACTTTTTAAAGATTTCGTGACGAAAAAAGATGAAAAAATGGTTCCTGGGGTTTTTTTAGAAAAAAATTTGCAGAACAGAAAAAAATTTTTCTAATAGAGAAAATGAGTGCAAAAGCTGACTTTTTCTTTCAGAAAACATGGAATTTTTTTGAATTTTTTTATGAAAAAAAGTGGTCACTTTTTAGAGATTTTGTGACGAAAAAAAATAGTTCTTGGTGATTTTTTTAAAGGGGAAAAAAATATGTAAGAAAAATTTTTTTCCAATAGAGAAAATGAGTTCAAAATCGGACTTTTGTCTTGAAAAAAAGGGCATTTTTGTAAATTTTCTGATAAATAGGTCATTTTTTTAAAAGATTTTTGTGACGGAAAAATAAATAAATATCTAACTCTTGTTAATTTTTTTAAAAAGAAAAAAATGTATTTCAAAAATTTTTTTCCAATTGAAAAAAATGAGTGCAAAAAGGTCATTCAGAACGGTAGCTTTTTGTTAAAAAAATCGTCTTTTTCTTATTTTTTTACAAAAAAAGTTGGTCATAAAAAAAGAATAATTTATTCCCTTTTAGTCTTAAAGAACCATATGGAAACTTGATATAACAGGATTTCGGAAAAATAAATTTCAGAAATTCAAAGTTTATTTTACATTTTTCTGTACCCTAATAAGGAAAAAACGCTCTTTTTAGGTGATTTTGGTATAAAATTTGGCTAATTTTGAAAAATCTTAGGCAAAATAATGTCTTATTCAAATTTTATGAGGCCTTATCAAAATTAAAATTAAAATTCCGATCCAGAAAACCTCAAAAAATATCAAAAAATCGAAAAAAGGCGTTCTAACGGAGCCTCGTACTGAAAAAAATCGCCCTTTTTACAGACCAAAAAAAGTTCAAAGTTTCAACCGAAAAAAACGCCTCAAAAAAACACTACAATAACCAAATTTCATGGCTAAAAAAACCGGCTTTTTCAAAAAAAAAATTTTCAATTTTCTTCAAAACTTCAAATGAAAGCACCAAATTGCTGGTTCCATTTTTCATAATTCGAAAAAGAGACCGGTCTCCGTTTTTCGAAATTAGAGGCTATTCCTCTCGCCGGT